CTAAACGACAATTAACGAAATTTTTACTAAAATACAACCAAGTAAAGGAACAACTAGATAAATTTATAAGTACAAAGCAACAGGAGCAAGGATAAGAGCAAGAACAAGGTACTATGAAGAAGGCGAAAAGTCTACAAAATTATTTCTAAATCTAGAGAGAAGTAATAACAAAAAACACACAATTACAAAATTGATAGGACCAGGAAATCAAATGTTACAAACAACACCGAAAATACTGCAACAATGCAAGGAATTCTATGCAAATTTGTACACATCCAGACAGGTGCATGAGGATGAGATAGAGAATTTTCTGGGAAAGGTTGAAATACCACTCACCTTGTCTGGGGAAGATAATATTTATTTAGATAGCACACTGCATGATAAAGATTTCGAAAATGCGTTATCGCAAATGAAAAGAGGGAAAACCCCCGGCTCAGACGGACTTACTGTTGAGTTTTATCAGGCTTTTTGGGACATCGTAAGCCAATTAGTAATTAATTCTATTAGAGAAGGCTTGGAAAAAGGAGAGTTATCGGTATCTCAAAGAAAAGCCGTCCTTAAACTGCTACATAAAGGCGGGGAAGATAATAACATTGATAACTGGAGACCAATCAGCTTGCTTAATGTTGATTTCAAAATATTGACACAAATATTAGCGAATAGGTTAAAACCTTTTTTATCCAAACTAATAAATGTTAATCAAACTGCTTATATAAAAGGGAGAAGTATTACACAAAACATAAGACTACTCTTAGACATCATGACATACACAGCAAAAGAAAACATACCCGGATTATTGTTATTCCTCGATTTTAAAAAGGCTTTTGATTCTGTGGAACGAAATTTCTTATTTAAAGTGCTAGAAAAATACAATTTTGGAAATCAATATACGAATTGGTTAAAAACAATCTACACTAAATGCACAAGCGGAGTTATCAACAATGGCTGGATTTCTGACTTTTTCCTTTTAGGCAGAGGAGTGAGACAAGGCTGTCCACTATCCGCAATTCTTTTTCTTTTCGTAACGGAAATACTAGCATTATATATAAATCAAAACAAAGAAATACTAGGAATTAAAATTGTAGATGGTGATAACATAAAAGAATAAAAATCTCTCAAGTTGCGGATGATACAACATTGTTATTAGGAAATGAAAAGTCTGTACATACTGCAATAGATACACTGTCTTACTTTAGTAAAATTGCAGGACCTGAACTAAATCTCAGAAAGACACAAGCTATCTGGCTTGGTTGTTGGAAATTCAGGAAAAACAAATACACGGAATTTCCGTACCCCAAACACCAATCAAGTCTTTAGGAATTTATTTCAGTTATGATAAAAAAGAGTGCAATGAAAGAAATTGGCATGAAAAAGGTTACAAAAATAGAAAGCATGCTAAACATATGGAAGAACAGAAAGCTAACTCTATATGGAAAGGTAACTATATTAAAAAACTCTAATAATGTCACAAATAACATACTGTGCTACAGCTCTATTAGCCCCAGAACAAGTTATTGTTAAACTACACCGTCTATTTTATCAATTTTTGTGGTCAGGGAAGAAAGACAAAATAAGAAGATCGGTTACCATAGCAAACTATGACAAAGGCGGACTAAAAATGATAGATATCAGAGCACAAATCGAAGCATTAAACGCTGGGATTATTAGACGTCTTATGGATAATACATCAGGAGATTGGAAAATCATACCAAGTCTTTATCTAAACAGCATTGGAAGTGACTTTCTAATCTTGAAAATGCATTTTAAAAATAGATCAAATTCTCCCAATCTACACCACATACCACCATATTATAAGCAAGCCATACTTAGTTGGCACCGAGCGGGTGGCGGAAACGTACCCGAACCAGTAACAGCTAACGAAGTCAAAAATCATATTATTTGGGGGTCTAGCTATGTCACAAAAACCCAAAGAAAAAGAAAACACGCATCATTATACTACAAGAAATGGATAGACGCAGGAATAATATACATAAGAGATCTGTTGGATAATAACAATCATATAAACGAATTACAGATACTTAACAAACTACACGATAAAAAAATTGGCTTGCTGAAATGTACACCGTTAAAAATGCAATTCCGAAAAGATGGTTAGCACTACTGAACGACACCCAATGTCAAACAACAGAATGCACAGAACAAAGATTAAAATACACAAACTACACATGTAAATACTTATACAGTATGCTAATTATCGACAAAATCGACAAACCACAGAGTGAACAAAAATGGGCTGTCATTTTTGATAAGAATTATCAAACTTTTGAACTTCCATGGATTGATATGACTATACATTTAACAACAGAAAGAAAATTATCAAACTTCATGTTTAAGTTGCTCCATAGAATACTTCCAAATAACAAAAATTTACATAGGTGGAAAATAGTACCATCCCCATTGTGCCACATTTGTAAAGTAGTAGAGGATGAAAAACACATGTTTATCAACTGTATAAGATTGGGCAACTTCTGGGAAAGGTTCAAGAAACTTTTAAATGTATTAGTCAAGATTGACCTTGATTTTGAAACTTGTATTCCCATAATGGGAATACCAAGAACTGAGAAAATGTACAAAGGAGGCAATCACATGATTGCATTAGCCCTGTATGCCATATTTAAGTCCTGGATCATGTATAAAGAGAACGAATGTTTTGATAAAATAAATTGCTTTTCAATATTTTACAAAGATCTTAAAAACATACTATGCATAGAATATAACATATCAGATACAAACGCAAAGAGAAAGTGGGGTTACTTAATTCCCCTGGTAATGTAACATATATCTATTACATTGTATTGTATTGTATTGTATATAAAAGTTTGTACAGTTTGTAAATAAAGTTCATGGACAGGACCATGAAAAGGAAAAAAAAAAAAAAAAACCGAAGGAAAATATATTGTTTGTGCTCAGTTTTTCTTCTCCAAACAGGGACCTCAGTGACCTGAACCAATGTTGTGTCTGTTACCATGGTTACAAGTGTTGGGTTACATCATGTTGCGATTTTATACCGTGAGGGATTTAGACTCCTGCCTGACCATACATATGAATGTGGTTGTATAAGAGCAGACCATGTATTACGTAAAAAAATATATACCTATTATATTACAGAGCCTGCATCACCCTCAGACCTTCAAGTTGACTACACCTTCAATGGAACAGTCGTCCTTACTTGGCAACCACGCGTCTCTGGATTGGCTGATTTCTATGACGTCATTATACACCAGCCAACCATGGGACAGGAGGCTGTACTTCAGAAACGCACGGGGGAGGAGCACGCCGAGTTACACGGACTCCGATTCGACACTACTTACGAGGTCTTAGTTTTGGCTGTGGCAAACGGCGTGAGGAGCAAAGAGGCGATTCGGACAATCAGAACATGTAAGTGATTAGAACTTCTTTTTTGTGTTTGTGGTTTTCTAGGCTGTTTATAGTGTTGAATATGACTTACTGGTATTATTGCAGTGTAAATATGCCACATTTATACATATGTGTATGTCATCGTTCTTTTGTATAGATTCGCCTTCCAATTGGACGGACTGGCGTGCTATACCGCCCTGTAGCACCACCTGTGGTACAGGCACACAAGTGTTCAGTCGGGAATGCCGATCACTCAACGGCAGCCTGTCTCCGTTCTGTACGCCAGACCAACAGTCAGTTACACAGACTACGTCCCGAGCTTGTGACGGGCTACAAGCTTGCCCAGGTCAGAATGTGGACTATCCGTGTTTTATGTTATTAAAGACTCTCCTCAATTTACTACACACTATCAATTCAAACGTATTTACTGTTAACGTATTGAACAATAACTAGACGGTGAAATTGAAGTCGAGTGCAAGTGTTACGCCATTTAGTTGGCATTTAAAGTTTTGAGACGTCGACTTCTTGCTATCTGTGCAACGAACCTGTAGAAAATGATTTCCAATAGACCTAGACTACATAAGTCCATTGGGGGTTATAAGTCGTAAATGAAAATGACGGAATACATTCCGAACATATCACTTACTCTAGATGCAGCAACTGTGTGACGCATAAAATAAATATTTTCTCAGGCTTTAGATTTTTATCTTTATATCATATCTTTATAGTTCATGGTTCCTGGTCCGCATGGGAAAGCTTTCTCCCCTGTTCCGTGTCATGTGACGGCGGTGTGACGTCACGTGTCCGGGTCTGCAGTCCTCCCCAGCTGGGTGGTTCATGGTGTCCTGGGACCGAGAACGGATCCCTGACGGAAGTACAGTACAAAAACTGCAGCGTGCACCCATGTCCCGTGCCAGGTAGGATAACTTTTGTATACAGAAAATTGTGTACTTATTTTCCAAGTTCGATTTCTGAGCATGTGGGACAAGAAATTGATGAATAGGTGAAAAGGAATGGCAATACATTTATCATGTTACGGTATGGAAAAGATAGAGTGATAGATATGATATTTCCTGCTTCAACTGAGATCCTTTTCTTCTTCATGATCATAAAAACGTTAAACCACGTAAAATCCATTACCTCATCTCAGTTATTATGAAGCAAGTTTAAACTGTAATTTCCAACACAACAAATTGGACTCATCCAAATTTTCGACTGTACAACTCCAGTCTTTGTCAACGAACACAGATGAACTTTCAAGATAAGATTAGAAATCATCTCATTTATGTTAGAGAATGTTTACTATGAAACATTCAATGCAATAGGATATTCAAGGGCAGCTACATAAATTTCACTATTGCATAATCTTTAGTGGTAACAACGTGGTCTAAGTGGTCACCTTGTAGCGTGACGTGCGGCGGAGGGATACAGTCACGTGTTCTTCTATGTGACGGGGTTACTTGTCCCGAGGAGACCAACGACACTAGGGACTGCAACACAGAGTTATGTGAAGGTATGTCTGCATGGATTTATTTTTCTTACGTTCTTGTTTGTTTAAGAGTCAAACTAGTGCCAATGGTGAAAATTTATACGTGTTACGTGTATTTGATCAAGTGTTTACCTACGCATAACAGGGATAGTGGCAACCGTAGATCTAACATATCATTCAGCACCAAGGACAGAGCAACAGGAAGGATTTCCTCTCAAATCTGTGGCTATGCTTTTTGTTGATTTAAGCTGATATACCACGATGAGAGTGGGTCAAATACCAAGCTAAGCTAATGTCAAATGCATTCACATTATTCACGTATTTATTAATGTATTTAAATTGAAGGGACATGGGGCAGCTGGTCAGAGTATAGCGCCTGTTCTGAGACCTGTGGGGAGGGGATACGTGTCAGGAGTAGAAACTGTACCGTTCCTGAGTTTGGCGGGACGGCATGCCCGGGGGACAGCAGCGACGATGGGCAACAGTACGAAGAAGCAACCTGCAATTTAGGCTTATGTCCAAGTATGTGTTTTTGTTGCATTATTATGTTGTAAACTATAATGACCAAAAATCGAAGGCATGAATTCTGTTTATGTTTTTGTATTTCTCTGTAACAGAAACTTAAAACACGACTTCTAAACACCTTTACTAATTACGATTACTAATGGTATTTCTAGGTTTATTAAGCATGTCTCACAATTCCTGCTAATTTTTGAGGTAATATTTCTTTATATTTCAAAGGGATGACCACAACGTTGTATAATAATGATGGCATTATTAGCTTCTACACAATGCACATGTTAGGCTTGAAAACATGCATGTGCTTGTCAAATGAAGTGTATAGAATTGCAATGATGCGGGGATTTAACCTAATGATACTCTGTTCCCGTTAGATCCTAACGGTACATGGGTCACATGGACCAGCGAATGTTCTGCCACCTGTGGTAATGGAACGAAAACAGTTCGACACAGATGTGCAAAAATCAACCCGGACAATCCGTTTGAAGGAGACCTGTTCTGCCCCGGGGAAAAACCGGATGAGGAGATAGTATGCCAAGTCCACCCATGTTCAGGTATGTTGTAAATTGTTATCTAATGCACAGAAATAAAGAGATAGGCACATAATGAAATTTAAGGAAATAGAATATCTGATGCGCGCACAGAAAGAAAGAGATAGACGCAGAGAGCCCATTGAATGCACCTGAATGTTCTTTGTGTTGCAAACAAAATACAAATCGACGTCAGAATAGAGTCACTAGTACTTACTACATAATATAGACATGTTATTCTGTGTTCCGGAAGGAAAGGTCTCTTGGAATAAAGATTCTGTACCATGTATCCCGTGTATAAGATATTGAGATTCTGTGGTTCCAGTATGATGATGTTGACCATCAAAAACATTGGTTAAACGGAATACTAAATCAAATCCTCGAATGTGTTCCTCCACATCCAGTAAACGGTAATTGGGGCCCTTGGTCAAATTTTACCGAATGCTCTGCGAAGTGTGGCAATGGGATACGAACAAAGACGAGGTTGTGCGACAACCCAGCACCAGAGTACTCCGGTTTGCCCTGTGAGGGTGATGTTGACAAAACCGGTCTACAGACTGAAGTCGAAAGGTGTAGGGTACGAAACTGCAGACAAGGTACTGATATTGTTTCTTCGTGATTTTGAGCAATTTAAAATTCAGTGACATTTTGTTTACTTTGTCTTTGACTTTACTTCTTTACTTTACTTCCTTATTACCTCACACTTCATGATCAATATTCTGTCATGTGAAAGGTTGCCGTCGTTCCCGGGGTGCACATGGGGTTAAGTGGCCGGAGACGGAACGCGGTAAAACAGCAACAGTACCATGTCCCACAAGACTGACTAACGGTAGGTATGGAAACGACAGCAGTCAATTGACAGTTGACGTGTATGTGTCACTCAATTCAAACGTAGGGCACTACAGAAAATGCTAGATGCGTTGCAGACAATTTTTCTATGGCGAAGGTATCATTTTATTGAAAAAAAAAAGACTTAATTGAAAAGTTTGCTATGATAATCATAAAAGCCATGATACGGTCTGAATGCCTCAGATTGCATTTGTACAATCTTGTGGTTTTATCCCTCATAGGAACTGCAACCAGGCACTGTGACCACAGAGGACGCTGGGAAGAGCAAGGTTTCTCGGACTGTGTATCGGATGAAGTCATAACCTTGCAGTGGAAGGTAAGAGCCACCGGAGAGGCTATGAATTATTTGAAGTTCAACTATACATTGATTGATTGCTTTAACAAATTGTAACGAATTTTAACCTATTGTTTTTAGCTTAATGACGTCAAAAACGTTCAAGAAACAACAGATTTTGTCGAGAAGCTGGAAGTTGTCAGTGGAAACATCAGATACCAGAAGGACATCCTCTTCATCCTGAACATGGTCAATGATGTAACCGATGACAATCCTCTTGGTGAAGACGATGGGACTATTAGAGCTAAAGACAGCTTCATACAGGTCAGCTATATGTATGGTTGTTTCAAAAGTTTAAATTTATTTAAAAAAAATTGTTATCCCCACGTCGGCGCACATGTACATTTTTTCCGCCACATTATTTTAAACACGACATGTTGACATATAAAAGTTTAGTAGATCTAGTATATATTTTCTTGCAGGCATTAGTGAGGATCATTGACAACGTATACGACAACGACTACCATCATTTGTGGGAAAGGATCATTGAGGTATGGCTGTGCACACTTGCACGAGAAGTTATATTGAGTATAGTTGCATAATTCCCCATATAGATTATGCATGCAGTTATGCATGTTTCATACAATTTCGGTAGATTCACATAGATTCATTAAAAATATTTAGTCAAAAGTGGGATACGAGAATTAAATTGCAACACCTTCACTTATACTTTACAAAACGGCTGAATACAATTTCATTATCTGTGATACGGCCTATAAAATAAGTGCGGTTCACAATCTAAGCAGTTCTGATGTCATCCTGTTACAGCATAGAGGCGTGATGCAGGCTACGCGCGTTTTGAAGTTAATGGAGAATATAGCAGACGCAGTAATGGACTACGTCAGTCATCAGGACATCAACGAAATGAACCTACGGAGGAACAACATAGGTGGGTGATCAATTTTATCTTGTTTTCTGTCAGGAATAGCTAAATGAGAAAATTCTTGATCTTCGTGATGTGGTTGGCATACCTCTAGTGTTCAAGCAGTTATCATAGAGGCATCGCAGTAGATAGAAAATGCTACATGAATGTATTTGTGGTATTCGCGTAGTTTGGACGTGATCTTTCATGTGATCTATCTGCAATAGGAATCAATGTTCTACTGGTTCCTACCAGCGACATGACGGGACGGAACTTCACAAGTGCCCTGGGAAGAAGGCGAGCAGGAAGAGCTAATCTCACGATATCAGGATCTGTACTGACGGACAAGAATAATACCGTCGGTGAGCAATTTCTGTGAAAAGTTGCTCGCATGTCACATGAAAAGTCTGCATGTCACATGTCTACAGATGATGTGCTGACAGCATATCAATGTACATAAAAGTGTTGTCTAGATTATATTTCTATGGTGATATTCATGTAATTTACCTAGGGTTTGTACGTAGAAACAGTTCAAGGCCATATGCTTTAACTGATTTCTCCTTCTTAATTCTACAGATATTCCGGAGAAATCTGCGGTTACGTTTCTTAATTTTGACAGCCTACACGCTCTGCTGACTACAAGGTACAAACAACACAATGACGTTACTTTTAACTATTATTTGACGAGTTTTACAAAAATGCTTTTGACTGACTTACACATTTACAACATGAGGTTTCAAAAATGAAACTTTCATATTTGTCTAAACGTATCAACAATATGAAGGCGATAAATTTCCATTACTTCATGTCTTTATCGCAGTGAATATCTTGATGAGAGGAGGCAGATCATCAACTCTAGAATCGTAGGTATTTCAACGGAGCTACTTCCAGTGGAACCTTTATCCGAACCTCTGGCCATCCGGTTTGAACATTTCCAGGTGAGACAAAAGCTTTGATCGGGAGTCACAGTCCGTGACTCCCAATAAAGGATCGATAATTTTTGGTCAGTGGTTCCCTTTTTTCGTATTCTATAAGTTTTCTTCTATGATAGGAGTTAAACGGCCATACAATTTGTGGACCAGTCCATTCAGTTTATTTAGTTCAGGAAAAAGGATCGTTGAAACTGGTTATAGCTGTCCTTTACAGATTAATCTTTCATTTTCATAGGCAGGGAAAAACCCAACGTGTGTTTTCCTGGACATAGTGAATGTGCAAGGGTAAGTCTTTGTAAACTCTTACAAAATCGCATTACATGACATTTGGCTCAAAATTTGCTCTTCATTGCTGTGTGTATATAGCCTGGGTTCCATCAAGGTGGTAGCGACTGTAGGAGCGGACGTAAACTAACCAGGATGGAACCCAGGCCAGTGTGTATAAACAAAGCCAACGTTCAGTTATGATATACATAAAGAGGTCCACTGAAATGTTGTGTCTCTTTTCAACTTTTTGTCCAGCCTGTATAACCCTAGTGGATGTCAGGTATTTGAACACACCGAAGACTACACAGTCTGCCAATGCTCTCATCTCCAGAGGGCCTTTGCTCTTCTGATGGAGGTTCGGGAAGAGGTAAGCTTGCAAAATTGTCTGTGTGAAATTGTCATGATACAGATTTTTGCCATGTGTCCTTTTATACTCCGAGTCCATAGAACAAGCTCACAGAATCACATAATGAGCTCACAGAATGATTTTTTGTTTGAAAGTTGTTCCTATTTTTTATTTGATAATGTGGTTTTGATACCAGGTTCAGAAAGGGGCAGTCTGGGTGTCACCTCTTATTGGAGATATCGTTGCGTTGACTCTGGTGATCGGCACACTTGGTGCTTATCTTTTACTGCGGTAGGTAACGTCCTATCAAACAGCATCTTCTGATGATAACTGTGTAATATTTCATCTGTGGTAAGATTGACAAGAACTAACAAAGCATTGAACAAAAAATAAGCCTGATTTGAGATGATTGCAACGTAATAATGCTTTTATTACACTGACTTATCGCCAAGTTTGCAATATCGATACTAAAGCCAGCAGCGACAACGGTATTGTCATTCTCTCTAAACCTGTTCTAGGCGATACATGTCCGCTTATGGCCACGTGGTGAAGAATATACTTGTGTGCCTGGTTGCTGCTGAAGTTACCGCTCTGGTTAACGTCATTGATGAAGCCAGCATCAAGGCGTTCCTTGGGGACATCAAGGTACATTTACTCTGCGAAATGATCATTTCATGCTTTAGCTATTGTATGTTTTTTGGGCAAATTTCAGAGTTTGTTTTAGAATTTGGGCGGTATCACATGTAATTTATGTACATTGTACCTCATGTAACTTCCCAAGGATAACAACGTTGAGCTGATACGTATACATGAACACAAGAATGTCTCCCTCCACTGTGTAGGAAGTATGTCTTGGTTTGACCGTACTATCACATCTAAGTGTGTTGTGCACGTTCTACTGGCTGGTACCTTTGTGCCTCCAACATTACCTGGACGTGCTGGCGCCCCGTGCCGAGTCACCCTGGTGGAGGTACCGGATACTGGGCTGGGGTCCGCCCGTGGCTGTGGCAGCCGTGACCGTGGGGATAAACTACCAGGCCTACCTAGATCTGAACGGAAAGTATGTCGTTCATTACCCACAGTTGTCATTTTTAGTGCTGATATCTTACGTTACATTGTAGTTTTTGTCAGTATTATAAAGCGCCGTAGTATGTATGTTTTACCAATGGTCCGGGTTTTTTTTATCTATAGTGGTCATGTTCCATGTCATACGTACATGCACACGACAAACTACATGTAGCTCCAACTCGCTGTATATTGCGTTAACTCGTCTATCTTATATCACATCTAGATGTGTTCTGCCTGTTGATGACTATCTGATTCTTGCAATGACAGCACCGGCTGGCTTCGCTGTCCTGGTAGGTATTAAAAAAGTTTTTTTGTATGAGCTTGAGGTTGAACTCATAGTTCCAAAATATATAATCGTGACAATTACAGATTATTGTAGCAAATATGTGTAAGTTAGCTAATTCCCAAAAACGACGTGAATAACGAGCTTCATTGTGACTATATTGATAGTTGATGATTTGTTGGCATATCATGCTTTCCGAAACTCCCCAAAGTGAAGTGACAAGATTTCCCACATTGTCTCCCTCTCTTCAGGTTGCCACAACTGTTATCATCATAACAGTCCGCGTGGACCATGTCATCTCTAAGACCATGAAAGGGGCCGCTTTCAAGAAACCCAGGATGGAGAAAATTGGGTAAAATCTTGTGAATTTATCTATGTCGATAACCATTTAAAATGGAAACCTACTAGTAATTCTTTTCTAGCTTAACTTCATTTGATTGGTGTCGTCATTTTGACTGTGTTGTTTTGTGGTAAAAGATCACAACTTATTGCGAGAATCTGGCCAGCAATGCCAGAAAGTTTGCGCATACATTGGTGAACAACGCAACAAAAACTGATGACCTCTCTTGGTGTTGAACATCATAGTGGCCTTGCTCTCAAAGCTTATTATAAACCAAACCTCAGCCTCTTCATGATGCGTTACAGAATGTCTTGCATTTTTCAGTGGTGAGATTTGGCGGTCTAGCGTTCTTGCTCTTCTCCTGTGCATCACGTGGCCAGCAGGGTATGTTGCCATGGCAACACAGAGCTCGACCTTTGAGAACGTCTTTGGCATCTCAAACACAATCCTGGTAATATCAACTCTTATACATTTGTATATGATTATTAATAAGTAGTACATTACACCTGTTATATTATCTATGATGCAACACAAGTGCATGGTGAATAAAAAGACCAATGTATGCATACAAATGTACACATTACTGCTACTTTTGCAGCACTATAGCTAGTGTCGCTATTGTTACTGTCACTGATGAGTGTTAACTGTTTAATTGACCCCCTATTCGCTACTTCACATTGCAGGGCATATACATTGCACTGTTCCTTGGGCTGTGGTCTCAGGAGGTGAGTGATATTAACTTTGCTCTTTTAACTTAATAAAATAAAATAAAAGCTGCCCTCTTTCAAATCCAAGCACATCATCTTCATCTCATTAAGAGAATTGGATGTGTGACACAAAGTCAGTCATTCACCTAAACAGTGTTGATACACATGCGGATATGATTAATTGAGGTTATGGCTATTGATATGATACATATAACATGATCAATTCTTGTGTTGTAAATGTAGGTGAGAATTGCCTATGGTCGGAAGTATAAGAAGATTGACTACCTGGTGGAAGCCACACCGCGCCCAGTACCAAAGTACATCCCATAGAGATCCACTATTTGAAAGCTTATCATATATTGGTGTTAATATCATTCTTATGTACAAAGCATAAAACTGTGTTATTCCAAAGCATATATATTTAATCCTCTTTTATAACCTGTCAGTTTTGGTCAATGAACTGGGGGCAAACCATGAACCCAATATGTTGTGTGGTGATACATAAATTAGGTAACTGCATGATACCATGGTTGAGATAAATACATGTATAAGCTATTAAATTACATGATGTAAACAATACCATGCTTTTGCGTATGAATATTCTGGCATTAGCTCATTCTATAAATAAAGAGTCTGATCAGAACATTTTGAGAGATGTCTATATTTCCTTTATTTTTTCTTACTTCATAATACATGTATCTGTCTACACAACTTGGAGAAAGGCTATCTTCATGTAGTAGGCAAGTACTTGATGTAGGGGGCATCTTTGTAACATACATGTCAAGTTTTTGTTCTTTACAACAGTCTTGTGATAGTACATGTATGAAGTATAGATATAGAGCCAAAATACATTGTATTTCAATTATCTTAAATATTAAACAAATACATTAAAATTCATACAACTTAAATGTATTGCTTCCTTTGAGAACCTTTGCACATATTATGATCAAGTGTAGAAAACCATGAATCTTTCTGCAGTAATCCTGACTTGGAATGAATAACTTGCTTTAGTATAACATTTGGCCTGGGTTGATCTTAAAACATATTATTTGGACTTTTCTTTCTTCTTGCCCCCTGACTTCTTGCTCTCCTTCTGTGATACCTCCTTGCTGTCATCTCGAGGCTTCTGCCATGGTAGAGGGTGCCTCCGGTAGATAGGCCAAGGAGGGAGGGTCAACTGAAAAAAAAAAAATACATCAGAATACTAGTACATGTACTACAAGTCAGATATCTTATATGTTGTATTGATGGGATATTCATAATTGTGGTAACACTGGTAAGATACACACATATCTAGTCAACTTGTACTCAGTGGTGGCTGGTTGTGATACTCTGAACATCCTCATCTGTTGTAAGTATTCTTTACTCATCAATTATGGCCCTAGATTGTTCACCTATATTAGCATCAATTCTAATGGTTCAATGAACTTCAGTTAACTATCACACTAATGTTATGTCTTGAATAATGACAATGCTTTTAGTAGTACAGCTATATAGAACATAACTCACCAGGCAGGATAGGATGAAGCCTGCCACTAGGATGTACACAGTCTGCACAAACTGCTCACACACGTATCCCCAGGCAAACCCTACCACCTGGACAGTCAGCAACATGGAAATCAATCAATCAAACAATGCTCTCTAAGCATGAGTGGGTGGCAATACTGGAGATGGGGAGATGGGGAGACAACATAAGAAACTGGACAGGTTGGTGACTATTAGACTATGCAGAGGAATAAGGATGGATGAAGCTGGTGCTGGAAGCATAGCCCTTAAATCTAAGGAGTGGGGGCAAGGTTGAAAGTGAAGCATAAATAATCGTTCATTTGTTTTATTAGCACATCCATTAGGCATTATTTGGATATTTACATAATTTCAAACTATTCTTCCTGGAGTCGGCTATAATGCAATTAGATAAAACATAAAGAACAAAACTTATACAATTGATAGACAGAAAGGTTCTCATCTATACCGCATTGCTGTGATTTAAGCACCACCTTGTCAATGTATTAAATTACAAGAGAATTCTGTGAAGAGCCTTGCCACCAAAAATGCAATGGATGTATACTCACTGCAAAGACAACGATGATGATCTGAAATATCTGCTCAGCTAGCTTCTGTCCTTTGTAGTCCTGTAACATTTGAACACAACTTGTGAGAAAGAGGCGCCTTCATGTTATGATAAATGTCATGCGGAAAAGATATAAACAACCACATGTAATGTTAGCCGGTTTCCGCCCCCCTCCCTCTCTGCAGTTTTGTCCATATGGCATACTGTTTATGCAGGTTACCAGAGCGTACGCGTCTATTTCTCACAAACCTTTCTGAATTTTCTTGTACGGGATAAACCCTACTTACCATGTGACTCGGTATGGCGTTCAGTTTCTCTTTAATGGCCTCCATTGTCAGTGTTTTTGGAGGAAAGATACGACAAAATTTTCCGTGCTGATGTGTCTCTAAGTCTCTCGCAGCTCTCGCGAGACTTTGGTTGGGATATACCAGTCAAGAAAAGGGAGGATTGTGAACATTTTTCTATCCCCCAAATAAGACACTAGAAGGATAAATAATGCTCAAAAGAAAGCTTATTCCTATCAACGAACTTTCTTTACCTCATTTCCAGTGACATTTGCTGCTAGAATTAATCCAGGTCAACAAAGGATGCACTGTTCAGGTGACCTTTAACCTTTCGGCTAGCGCGCGTCTGGACACAGATTTCAGTGGGAATGTGAGTATTTAAACTCCAAATTTATAAGATTTAGAGACTTATATCATACAATTTCTTTTCCCTTGTGTAAAGTAGACAATGTCCCGTAGTATCCATTTAATATCACCTTCACGTGAGCCTTAAATACGCTTTATACAGATGTCTTTTTCCCTTGATCGTCGCCTTCAACAGAGCCCCTCTGTCTGCGGAACCAAAATAAAGACGTGATTGATAACAGACGACGGCGGCGCTACGTGGCGCGACTCGGTTGTTTTCCATTAGCCTTTGTAAACAGTAACAATTCCCTAACTGGTTTGATACCTTAGACATGTTTTATCGCACGTTTTAGCCTGAACGGGACCGTTTTTGTTATATTTCCACCAGCCACGATATTTTACTACGTGGCACTTGGACTACATCTGCCGTCCAACTGTGTACAGAGTGGGAGGCTGTCTGGATGCGGCTGCTGGATTTATCGTGAGGTTTGAGAGAGATCTGAGGCTACGGGCAGACAGAAGACGGCATCATGCCTATCCTGGCGGCCATGGCGATCTCTCCCCGGAAGAGTATGTATTATCATAACTAAACCATGAATATGATAATTAATATAAATATATATAATGTCTTTGATTGGATCAAGGGCATTCTATCATCGATGAAAGCTTCTTGACAGGATCAACCAAGGACGTCCTTGGATCAACTAGATATGATTGACACCCATGCAGGCAGTAGTCCGAAATGAAGCCGCTAGGTGCTTGGGTTTAAAATCAAATTAATTACTTATTCCAAATAGTTTAATATCCCCACTGTTCAACGTTATCGACTAGGACTAGGAGAATGTTTTTTTAGGCATTTTGTTTACGAACCTACATACAAACAAAATTATGAAGCAAAACAGTGCTATATACAGCCTCAATATGTTTTTGTTGAACTCTGGCAAACTTATTACTAGTACAGAAATTTCAATGGTCTCCTTTCTGTTGCTCTGTGTACATGGTGTAGGTGGATAGTTTTAGATACCATACATTTATACATGGTAGCTTTAGTAAGCAGAGACTTGATTTTGACTTGTAAGTCTTCTTCATGTTGCAGTTTTCCTGTTCCTGGTGTTTGGTGGGGCCATCGCTCTGCTGCTGGCCTTCCATAAACCCAGCAGGAAGAAACTTATGCAGGCACCAAAACTTGTCTTTGATAGTGAGTAAACAAGTCATTCCACATAACACAATTTCTTATGAAATATGGTGTTTTCACTGTGTACACTAATAATATTACTAGTAGGCCATAGCATCACAAGTAGATCTACAGTGACATACATGTACATGTACAGTAAGAAAAAACTGGAAATTGATGTCCAACTATGTGTACATGTGTATCAGGCTTAAGCATCTACTGTTGTCAGAAGCTGATATAGAAATGGTATTAGAATGGGGCAAGCATAGCCTTACATATGATTTCAAAGAGAATGAATTCCTACTGTAATATGCATTAGATACTAGAATTATCATCTCTGTCATACAAATGCTATATAATTAGAATATATCCTATAATCTCATATATGAATAGATTCAAATTGTTAATTTTGAAGCAACTAGTATTCAAATTCATTTTGTATTTCATCAATTCAGGCAGGAATGCAGGAGAGTTGAAGCCCCCATCAGGTTTTGATGCTGCTGCTGACACCATCCCTGTGGTCATCAGTACTGATGAAGGCCGGCTGATGGGAGCTGTGGCAGCCATCAACAGTATCGCAACCAACGCCAAATCTCCTGTCAAATTCTACCTCATCACAGACCAGGACGCTAAAGACCATCTGGAGTAGGTGGAATTAATCTCCAAGCAGATCTTTCGGTGGCCACAAAGACAGTATCAAATTGGCCAGGCAATATACATGTACCAAACAGTATGGATACTACTTGGCTAACCAAAAGATCTGCTTGCATATCTGATTTATTATAGTTTGTGCTTATAAACCTGCAATTCTCCTGCAGTCTCTTAGTGTCACTGACGTGGATGCTACCTGAAATGTCTGACCATTTCGAAAGTCATATCCAGTTACTTGAGTAACTGTTTTGGGCAGATCTGCTTGGAGATTAGGTTGAATTGGAAGGAACCTACAGGGCATGTTATGATGTAGAAAAGAATGCTTAAGTTTGTAATATTCTTTTTTACGTGATGCAGTGATAGCGAAAGGAAATTGTTCAAGTACAGGAAACATATGTTGTAAGATATCTCTCAATGAAACGTCGTCTTATTTTCCCAGACAGTGGATCATGAAGACGAGACTTCACAGTATCAACCATGAGATTATCGTGTTTAACGAGGACTGGGTGAAGGGGAAGATCAATGTGAGAGGAGGACGACAGGAGCTCGCTAGTCCTGTAAGGCCTGTTTATCTTACTACATTCTAAATAAAGTATGTTTGTGGTAAACATTGCTGTATGTTTCAATGCCTTGCATTTACAACATTTTAGGTACTACAATTATAGCAAACAAACCTTTATTAAGTTATTAAACCTGCATTTCCCCTCTGGTCTCTCAGTCACTGATGAAAGCTAGTGGATACTAGCTGAAACGTCTGACATTTTCAAAATCATATCCAGTTACTTGAGTAACTGTTTTTGGCCTATCGTATTACCTGGATGTCTATTCATCGACAAACCTTTATTAAGTAGTAATACACTTGAAAAGGACTACCTTTACCTTTTACACTCTAATAACCAAGAACTTAATACTAGTATTTGAGAAAATACAGTTCCTTGAACTAATACAAATGGTGTACTCTTCTATCCATTCACAGATCAACTATGCCAGATTTTACCTTCCAAAGCTGCTGCCTCCTGACTTCAATGGAAAGGTTATATATTTGGATGATGATGTCATAGTTCAAGGTCAGTACCAATATCTTCTTATTTTTCCTTTCTTTTGCCAATCATTGTCCCCTCCTCTCCTAATCCTATGCTTTTCTAAAAATTTTACAAACCAAGGGAGTAATCATGACATAACTTAAGGGTGTTTTTCTTAACTATTATAACCCTTTACCTGTCTACCTGTCCAGGTGACATCACACAGCTGTATAACACCAAGGTGGATGAAACATTGGTCATGGCCTTCTCTGAAGACTGTAACACTGTGTCCAACAGATTTGGCCTCTTCATGGTGGGTTCATAAGGATATTCCATTTCTATTGAATCAGATCTTTGATGGAAGGGTAGTCAGAATTTTTGGCATTCTCTTTGTCAATTTCTATTTCTTTCAAATCAGTATCTTCTCACCCCCCTCCCTTTTATAGAAAACACCTGACCCCCATGGAGAATTGTTTAATAGAACAGTCCTAATTACTTTTTGTCTGAGTGGACATACCAGCCTATGTTGTGTTTACTGTTTCTCAGAATACATTATTTTCTGTGTGCAACACAGCTTGGTTTGTTAAACTACTAGCTAATTGATGACATTATGTAGTATTGTACCTGCAGAAGTTGTACATATACATGCTAGCCATCATTTAAAGCTAAGTTTCCATATTTCTCCTTCCTAACAGAACACATATGCCAACTACATCAACTTTGGGAATGAGAACGTGAAGAAACTTGGGATGAAGCCGGGGACTTGTTCCTTCAACACAGGAGTTTTTGTTGCCAACATGACGGAGTGGAAGAACCAGAAAATCACAGACAAGCTGGAGTTTTGGACAGCACTTAATACCGAGTAAGACTTGGTCAATTTGTGTATGGTTATGAGAAGGTTATTCCAAGGAGCACTTGGAAATAGATTAAAAACAATGGTATCTTTGCTGTAAATTATGTCATATCAACTTGCAAGAACAAATACACGTAAATCATTTCTTTTACATGCCCAGAGTGATATTAGTAAGAATGCTACAAAATGTGACATCTGGATGGTTTGTAGAATTTTTCATGTACCAAAACGTATTTCAATTGTTACGTTTGACTGCTTGACCAATGTAAAGGTAAAGTATGATTATCATTACAATTTGTCCAGTCTTGTCAAACTAAGGATAGCAGCTTATTCAAAAGCTGCTGATTCTTGCACTGATGATAGCAGGTTATTCACCAGCTGCTGATTCTCCTTCCCAGGGAGAATGTGTATGGTGCCCAGCAGGGAGGTGGGGGTTCCCAGCCCCCCATGATGATCGTGTTCTACAACCAGTACTCCAAAATAGACCCCATGTGGCACATCAGACATCTAGGTTTGTACTGTCATTTTTATATCCTTTTATGTCTCAGAATTTTGCAATTGTGTGTTTGAGTCTTTGAAATGATAAGAAAATATAATCATTGAACAGACAATGGTTTTGCCTACCCACTGTACCTAATTGTTCAGGCAAGGTATCTTTCTATGTGTTAGAAATTTTCTTTTGTAGTGTATTTTAGATGTACATTTCTTTCTTTAAAACCAGCTGACAGACCTTGACCATTTCTTTTCAAAAATAACTTTTTTCTGAAGTTTAAATAGGACTGTGTTCTACTCTAGTCTTGGTATCAATGAACCATGCTCAAATCAACCTTAACCAATCAGATCGCTTGTTTTATTCAAGAGATTTTTGTAATGTTACACCTTTGCAGGTTGGACAGCAGGAACAAGATATTCCAGACAGTTCATCATGGAGGCAAAACTCCTCCACTGGAACGGGCGCTTCAAACCCTGGGGCCGCACCTCGCAGCACATGGACGCCTGGGAACGGTACTACATTCCAGACCCGACAGGGAAATCCCAACTCACCAGGAAATTCCGAATGTTTTAACTGAAGACAAGGTCTCCATATCAGTAATATATAAGCCACAACATTCATGGACGTAGACAAAGCTAGTAGAGTATTGGCCTTAGATTTAAAGGTATACATGTACGTCAAGACATGAAACATGTCTTTTAAAAATAGAAAATCTCTAAGCCAAACTTATCTCCTATTGTAAGGCCACACCAATTTAATTTGTTGAAAAAATATGAAGCAACAGGGCAAAAAAAAACCAGGTCTAGGCATCCTATTATAGCCTCAAATGCTACAATAGGAGCCATGAAGTCAACACAAAAGTCTGGGTTAATATTTAAACAATGAATTGCATTGATAGATGGAAAAACTGTAACAACTAGGAAGACAAGGACTTTCCTCAACTGTTGGGGCAAAATATGAGCATATTTGAGTAGATTCAGAACCATAATCTTTTTTTTTTGCAAACCAGAAAAAAATGAAGAGGCAAATCTGAGAACCAACAAATTAAATTGGTGTGGCCTAAGTAGTTAAAGTACATTCTTAAATACAGCATTGGTGGGTAGACCCTCTGTATCGTGGACTTGGTCACTTTGTACTACTGTTTACCTAGTCTGTGCTGTTGTGAATTCTTGCCAAACTATCTTCTTGTACATTCGAGGTAAACTAACTGCAGAAAGTAGCAAGTGCTCAAGACTTAAGGAGTAGCAACAATTTTTATTGTTATGAAGTGATTGTTTTGTAACAGTTTGTTGATTGCTGTTTTGTAACAGTTTGTTGATTGCTAATAATTTCATGACATCTAACTTATGTTGCATTTATAAACAATAAGAAAAAGGATATTGGACATTTGTAGTAACCAGTTGTTTTAGATAGCAAGTATCGATAACATTCATGTATGCCCATTTTGCCATATGTTTACATTTAATGCATTTTTTTTCTATGAAAAAAATTATCAGTTGGTTCTGTATTCTGACACTAACATTTTAAGGTGCTATGTTTTGTTACTCAAATGTTCACTGCCCAAAGTCAGCATACAAGTATACTGGTGCTTAATATAAGGCTATATAGAACTATTTCTCTGAAATATGTTTCACTTATATATTGTATCTGTATACACATTGATAAGTTGCCAATACTTCTTCTAAAATGTTGTATTCAAATTTTGTAACAAAGGTAATTGTTTGCTAGAAAGATTCTAGTCTAGATCTAGATTTTCTCAGTGTTTGCTGAAGTATATTTTTGTCATTCTTTTTTAATGAATCTCATTGTGTAAAGCATTTGTAAACTTTTTTGCCAAAGAAGAATCCGACCTTACTGCAGTAACTAATGCTAAGTATTATTATATGCCCCTTTACTGTAATATAATAATGTTAGCAGTGTAGCAATGTTGATGTAATATATATTTGTAACACATTTTTTGCACTAGCAGTATATTTATATTATTTACTTTTATACGTTTTGTAAGAGAAAAATAGTTTTTAAGTAGCGCCTGCAGAGGCATAAACTAACCAGTGAAAACAGCTGATATTGTGTGAAGCTACAGTGTAGTTATAGCGTCTGCATTTTTGTACGTACAAAATCTCAATTATTTTGCTGCAAATAAAACCGTTCTGTGTCGTGAAATGATGATGGTGATGTATTGTGTCAAATTTAGCTAGCGCCTATAATTTGATTGACAAGCAATGGCAATGGCTGAATTCATGTAGGGATTTCCAGTTGTCAAGATATATAAACTCAAGGTTTCCTGACCAGGAAATAAATTAGAAGTCGAATGGGCTATTTAACAAACAGATTAGGGCGATTTGCTGGTAGCAAAACCTGTACTTTTGTGTAGAAAAACACTAAAATAGTGGACCTAGATGTTTGTGGTTGTACTTTACAATGTATATCAAAACAAGTAAAGAATGAAAAAAAAAGTATGGAAAAATTTCGACGTTTCCCTCCTCTTAAGTGAAAGAGTCCGATGGCCGTGACGTAACACGACAACAGAGGGACTCCACACAGGCCAGTGTTCTCCCTCGTACAGCGATCAGTCCGAGGCATAACACGGGGCAAGTAAGAACCACAGCTTCTCATAAAAGTTTTATTAAAACGCCTAAAAGGTGAGTACGCCAGCAATCCTAGTCTGGTTTCTTTTTAAGAGCGTACTGGCTTCTATGAATGGCAGGTCGTCCGTACGTGTAAAATCGCCAGTCAAATATAGAAACGCGAAAGGGCTGTGTACAGTGGCCAGTCTATTTTTGGATGTAGAGCACACACTGTATTTAGGCCAGGCCAAATTTGTATGGGCACTAATGCCGTGCATTAGAAATTATGATGATTTCTATTCTCATACGAATGATGCGATTGGGGAAAATATTCGCATTTGATTTGTGATGTGCTATACAATGCAGTTATTTGCCTTATCACATTACATCACATGGGGCTGTTGGTATGTATGGCAGTGAAAGAGGAGATATCATACAGTCCTTGTAAGTACGCCATGTAGTGAAGCTAACTAGTACTGCATTCAGTATGACTATAACTAACTTTCATGCTGTACATGCCTTTGATAAGGATGACCAAAGTCACGTACGTTATAGAACAATACAAAATAGGATGCGAGAAAACGCATGGTAGCTGTGACTTCTTTCGCTTTATTTCTTAGATAGCAACAAGTTCCAAGAACCACAAATAACAAAAGCGGGTTCAGAGTTCAGACATGGCGTCCAAGAAAAGAGGCCGGACATGGAGGAAGAGAAAAAGAGGAAAACGCGAGCGAGACAGCCGGCCAGGTAAGATATCGAGATGTCTACATGCATTCTGTTCAATTCGTCAATTCCTCTCAATTTTTCGTTGGCAGAAACCATTCTTAAGTCAAACTTCAAAATTGCATTTTTTTATATCCAGTGTACCAGGGTGAAGACAGGGAATTAATCAACCTACAACAATTCATGAAAGCCAACGATTTTAAGGGATGTCCCCTTAAACCAGCCGTCTTCCCAGGTGAGTTGCCTTTGATTGTTGTTTTTTTTTCGTCATCGGTTTTACATAAAAGATGAATTGTAGCTGTTGACTTTGGAAGAAGCCCTGGCCTGAAACAAATATAATATTTGTCCCAACGTAAAACTGTACAACATCACATATCTATAGAAACAACCCATACACATTGCAGGTACGGGTCGGGGAGTGATGGCTGCAAGAAGTATAAAGGTAAGACTTATCGTAACATCAACGTACTTTACTGGTAAATCTCTGCACAAGTTGGTCATCCCTCGAACATATCACGGTTGGGAAACCTTCGGATCCCTGTGCTTCAACCACGCATTCTTGGCAACAGCTTTTCTCATTTACAACTGAACTTGAAGATGTACGTTGTTTGTCTATGTATCTACTATGAATGAATGGTCATAACATCTTCCCCATCGTTAAGGCAGGAGAAGTCATCATCGCTGTACCCAGGAACATTCTGATATCGTGTCGAACCATTCTGTCCTCCAGGCTAGGCACAGAGTTGAAAAAGTGAGCACTCCTGTAATTTTTCGGTATTTCTTCGGTATTCATAGTTAATTCCTAGCTGGCATATAGTTTGGTACCAGAACACCGTTGCATATTAAAAAAAAATCATAAAATCCGGTTGCACACTTTAACCACGTACCCTTGCCTCTCCTTGGCTGAATAAATTCGCGAGTGAGACATTAATTTCTGAGTCTGTGTTTGTTCTTCTACAGGTGGTCCAGTACTAGTCGTTTCACCTGCGCACAGGTACTGTCATTGTTCCTCCTTTTAGAGAAAAACAAAGGAAAATCCTCCTTCTGGCACCCTTACATCAGATCACTGCCCAACACCTTCACCACTCCAGTGTATTTCACGGAAACAGAGCTCAACGCCTTAAGTCCTTCTCTCCAAGAAAAAGCAAGAGATCTTAAGAAAGAGTTGCTCCACGCCTTCAATGATCTCGAGCCGTTTGTGTCGTCTTCTCTGCCCGAGTTGGACTCTACGTTCACGTTCGATGCGTTCAGGTGGGCGTGGTCCGTTCTGAAGACGAGGACGCTGTACCAGGAGGACTGTCGGAGTCCGTACCTGTCCAACAGGGAGCCGCAGACCTCCACACTGGTGCCGATGTTAGACCTCATCAACCACTCTCCGTCTGCAAAGGTAAGGGCCTGGACGAAACAAAGGGTGGAGCAAAATAAAGAAATATGGGGGGCCGGGGGGAGGGGGTGGTGAATAAAAATGGATAGACATGGTCGAAGGAAAGGGAAAGGAATAATGATGACAATAAGAAAGCTTGTTCGTATTATTTTTGTGCGTACAATTATATTTTGTTTGTTTGTTTGGTTGTGTGTTTGTTTTCATCTACAGTTTCTCTGTCCTTCAATTCTGCCATCGACGTTTTGTCAACATTCTAGTGGATCTTATTTTTCGCATTGATTTTTGAGCAATTCTCTCCACCACACAAGTCTCTCATTCTATCCGTCTACCCGTACCGATGTCCCAGTGTAATATTCCCTTTTGCTTTGTCCATATTTCCAGGCGAGGTTCGGTTATAACGTGAACACCAGCTGCTATGAGGTTCGCGTTCTGGAGCCGTACAGGAAACACGACCAAGTGTTCATCTCGTACGGGTTTGAGGAGAACTCGGAGCTGATGCTGAAGTTTGGCTTCTACGTTCCCAGAAATCCCAAAGACTTCATCAAGATAAACTTGAGTATGGTTCTTTCATTGACACAATCATTGATTTAAACGTGAAGTTACAAACGTGATCATCATTCTTTCATGTCCAAAGCTATACGTTCAAAATCTTCGTACCCGTACATACGCACGTACATCTAAGTTGATTAAGACAATATTGTCTCCCCCCCCTCCCAAGGAGTATCCTATCATCTTGAATAACTTTTTTTAAATTAGCAAATGTTTCCTTTTCGCACAGGTGAATTGTTAGAGTGTCTGCCACAGATTAGTGATGAAGACCGCAAGAACAAGGTGGACCTCCTGTTTGAGAGTGGATTACTCAGGTACAATTATGATTATTTTAATGTAATAATGGATACTATATTGACATTGATAGTGTAGTAGCACGATCGAACATTTTGTTTTTGAAAGGGGTTTCATATATAGATGTACCGTTTCATTGACAACATTTACCTTGTTTACCACGTTCCCAAGGAGCAAGTCAATGATGGCAACAAACAATCATATAAGCCTGTAGAGGTCCCAGAAGAAAGCCACACAATTTACGGCGTTATTTTTTTCAGCAATCAAACTTGCAGCTGGAATGGGATCTCCTGGCAGGTGATGTCGGTACTGCAGGTCCTAGCAACCAATGGCATCGACAAAAACAGGTCACTTTTTCAGAGCCTTTAATCTATGTTGTTCATTCAAATATGACATAAGCTATTCTATGACGATAGTCACCAAATGTGTCACACAGACTGATCAACGTCTGACAGAAAACTCTTCACTTTTAAATGAAACGTTCGAAGTGTATGGATAAGCCGACGGCGGGACGGAATAATATACTATAAAATGATATTCAAATATCGTGAGTCTCTTTTGTCCTGTGCGTTGTGTGTTGTTATATCCACTAACCCTGTGATAACTTAACCTGCAATGTTGTCTGTTTTCCAGCGTCCCTTCGATATTTCCAAACTCCAACCCGCTTTCATGCCAGTGAGTAAATGTACCTTTGATTGGCACTCTGTACTTTGTCCATAAAAATGATCACAAACAAGCAAAACATGCGTTCCAAATCGCCTTCTAAACAATATGATATCCAGAAACTGTTTGCTCATGAAGCAATGCTTGTAATATTTGGGAGCACGTAGGTAAAATAACAAGGTGAATCCTAAGGTATAATTATTTATTTGCAGATTTACTTTGAATAACATTAATTCAATTGTAGTCTTGATCTTTGTACATTGCCAAGCACAAATTTTTGACAGTCGATGTATTTTGACAGTAGTGACTGGTATACGATCTTATAGTGCACAGCCACAGGAAGCATTTCATTCGGTTATCAGATTTGAAGACATGTACATGTAACATTGTCAATGAAACGAAAGTACATCTTTTGATACGATTAAGTCAGAATAACGTTGACTACAATTGGTATGGGAAACTACAGTGTGCCAATTGAAGACAGGCGCTATCTGCATCACATCAAGCTAATCATTTCATATATTATATGCATTAACAGTCATAATTATCTCATCACTTCAACCTTCCATCCGACATGTTCAAACATTCATGCATAACGGCGTCCCTAACCTTCCATAGGACGTTTCCACTATTATTCCTTCGTTCTGTGTCCCGTCACATATTCAGGTTATAATTACTGCATTGAATTTTTCTCTCGTTCGTTCACTGTTAGGTCACCCTCAGTAGAGTGATCATGATCTTATATTTTCCAACGTTACAAACACGCAGTGTGACTGTATCAAAATTTGTGTTTGTGTTGGTAACATTTTAGATTAACAAGATGTAAAATGCCACCAACCATATTTCGTTCATTCATTCATTCATTCATTCCGTTCTTTGCATCCCTACTGATTACATACTAACGGTGTGCACCTGTGTTCTCCCACACTGTTCAGTTTTCAGATCGCACGTTATATGATGCCTTTCAGAAACGCAGCGCTCTCTAGCGAAGAATTGCAAGCAATGCAAGCAGCTCGAACATTGCTGGAGAGGCGGCTGGAATCTTACGAAACCACAATAGAGGTTAGATCAACGTTTAATCATGATTTTTCTGACTAAGGGAGAAGAGATGCTAGCTGTTATAGCTTTGGTACCATTCTGGTTAGTTTACGTCCGCTCCCACAGTTGCTACAACCAACCATTCTCTTGTGCTTTTCATTCATTTTATTCTATTTTCTATTGGAAACCTCCTGGTGTATAGTTTGTATCAGCATGAAGTCTCTAGTTCTTCCAGTATCTATTGAGACAGCATTGGTAATCTCCAGATCCCTCTCGGTGGCAAAAAGACAGTATCAAATTGGCCAGGCAGTATCCATAATAGCCAGAGAAGGTCGCCGGCCACCGACGGGGTGGGGGTAGCGACAAAAAACGGCCATATATAAAAAAGGTAACGATCATTCCCCCACAACCTCTGCTTGGAGAGTAAGCAATGGCCAAATAGATCAATAGGCTAATTTCTTTCATTTTCTTCTTCTCTTGTTGGTGTAACAGTGTGGCTCAAGCGCCACCAACTGACCTGTCTAACTGTAACAGGTCCGGACCTTTTAGTCTAGCGTTTTATAGTACGTTGGATTGTGAAACCACACTGTTACATCGGAGTCATATTATTTTCAGAGCTGATGTAGTTAAAACTAGAAAGGTAACATTTGCAAGCAAATGCAATATGTTTACCTCAGGATGGTCTTGCCTACGATTTAACGTTATACCTTTATTAGGAAAGGAAAGGTAGAAGGATAGTTTGCTTATATTACTGACTTTTATATGCTGTTTATAGAGTAACATCAACGTTATAACTGGGGAATTTGAATGTTTTTGCCGTTGTAAGGCCAAGTCTACCCGTCTGCCACTCAAAGATCATTACCATAGACTAGTCTTGTAGTGCCATGTATAGGAGATACTAGGATATATATAGTTACATACCACAGTACCAATGATTCACTCAGCACACACTCTTACCATGTTTGCAATTAGGCCACAGCATTAACTTTAATCAATGACATCCTCTGCAGACTGCAAGTAAACTTCGAGTCTTTTTGACAGCTTTAGTTACAAAGGACTTTGCTGCGCTCATCTCACTACCTTATTACATTTTTGTAAATAGGAAACAGGACGTAGGCTGAAATAATAATGATGATAAGTTTATTATTATTACAAATACATGACAGAAGGCTAATTGTAAATACGTATATCATACGAAATGATATACAATGATATGAAGAACTAATTCCTACAGTACACTTTAGTCTTTATACTACAGTATATAAGATATATATCAAGCCAGTTTTGTTGGGTTTTACTTGTTCTTTTGATCGCCGAGCCAGTGAATATACCCACTTCTATAATAATTGTTCTTTGAAATTTTATATGAAAATCATTGCAATGATGATGAAAATCTACAGTTGTGTAAAATATTGGAACTACACACTCTATAAAACCATACATACATACTTAAAGCTATACGTGACTTAACTGTTACATATATTATGCAAATTTAACATACATAATGAATATTTACTGGCCAAAATGGAGATATAATGTGTTTCTAGAAATGGTTGTGATGTGTTGTATCCTTCTGTGGATGGCTGGGTTCAGCTCTGTTACGGTTCCTCCCCTAGTTTCTCATGGACCAAGTTCTGCTTCCTTTCCTAGCAGAGGTCCAATCTTAAGAGTCTTATGAGGATACAAACTGGAGAGTAAGCATTTCAAATGTGATCAGAAACTGATATTATCCTTATTATGTTTAGAGAGATAACTTTACGGGATATGCATCATCGGGATACGGAATTTTTCGGGATAGGCGTCCCGAAAAATCCCGCGAGATATCCGCGTGTGGTGCGAGATCTCCAAGTCTACCGCGGGTCCTGTCACCGATGGCGGCGTGCCAAATGTTTATTTTTACGTCCTGTCGGGCGATCTGGGCAGGGCCAATGGAGCACCCTGACGTCAGTCAACTTTGCCAAAATTTTTATTCACCGATAGCACAGGAGTGTATATTGTGTATGACGCGTTCCTCACGCGGTAATAGGTGAACTGCTACATTTTTACAAAGCTATTGTGCAGCGAAAAACTCACGAAAACTGTAAGAAAATAGCAGGAATGAATTTTTAATAACCCCTTCGTCTCCGGTGAGTTTCGGCAAGTTTATAAACCTTCAAATAAAATGGGGCGTATCGGCTGTAGTAGTAGTTGTATTTCATTGTGACATCTTGTAGTAAATTGGCTTGTTGAGGTCTACTCATCTTCTCATAAGCAGACTGCGTCAAGTAGTCTCTGTATTACGAAAATTAGGAACGTTTGCACATCAAAATCCCGCGGCAAGCGTCTCACCCCTCCCATGCAAACACGTACACATAAAATAAATAAACCCCTGCATCAACAATCAACGATCCGACCACGTCCATTGACGTACGTATTACCCTGAAAGCAAGTACTTCCATGCGGCTGGCAAAAAATCTTCCGGTGGAAAAAAAAAAAGCATTCTCGTTCTCGATGTCACTTGTGAAAACGTTGTTTTGGAGTGAAATCGGGATGAGAAAAATACAATGCCGCTTGCAGGACTGAGGCGGAAAATCGCTACAATCGCCAGGGCGGCCGGAGTCTCTGGGGCGGAGCATCGAGCCTTTGAGTTTGAAATCTTGCCGCCCAGCCAGTGGGCGGGTCCCCGTCTGTGTGCTGTGATTGGGCGCCGCGCGGTGATAGCTATGCTGCGTGCCGTTTCTATGGCAACGTGGCCCAGTCACAGAAATGTATCAATTCTTGTTCGTCGCTGATCGCAAACACAGCCAAGAGGCGTAAAAGAACTTTTTAATTATGCTTCGCCCCCCCCTCTTTTTCGTATAATGTTTAATCTCCCTTCCGCAGCTCCGTGCGTCGACCTCCCCTATCTAGGAGAAAAATGAACTTCTGGCGACATGGCACGTGGATGTGTTAGATTTTATATCTGAGATAGCGTGGGTCGGGTGACATCAAAAGCAGTACTTAGGGCCGTCCACATCGCAAGGTCAGACAGAAATTCTAGTACCAAGAAGGTTGTATTATTTTGTTATCGTTCTAAACATTATTAAGCCACTAAAATGTTCGATATTAAAAAAAAGAAATATTTGAAACACTAGCCGTTTTGTGCTAATGTTATCATCATGCATAATTTGGAAACAAACATGCGCCGCACCGTCTGTCTGTAAAAATCTTAGTCAACATGGTTCCCGAAAAATCCCGGGATATCCCGATTTGATGCTTATCCCATGAACTGTACTGTATTATCCCGAAAAAGATTGAAACTGTCTGACAAAACGACAAAATGTAATGTCACATCCATGTTTATATAAACGTAAACAAACGCCCCCCTCCCCGGCCCCGCACCCACATTACAAAGTCGACAATAGTTACAGATGAACACAATTCTGTTTACTTTATTTTCAAAACGGCAGCAAGCCTAAATCTCTATACATACGAGATTCTATCAAGTCAGGAGCTAGTGTAAATTATATAGTTATGAGTTGTTTTTTTTTTATTTGAGCCGGCGGTGACATGCAAAAAATTACACAAAGTCGCCGGCGTTCTGTGGAAATCTGCAGTCCTACTTGTGGATATTGAACCCAAAATCCCAATGCAATATTCTCTACTCGAGACTGGTATTCATATGGCCGTATTTTACGAAGAAAAATGAAAACTTACCGCTGACATTGATCCACCGATCTCTTCTCGTGTCATACAAGGGCGGATGCCCATATTTGGAAAGCTCGGGTGTTCCGTGCGTAGCGCTAGGGTCATTGACCGCGGTTATCGAACACGCTGTTCCATTGTTCCATGGTTGTTCGAATGTTCCAAACGCGTTCTTTTTGTTCGATTTTTGGCTTAAAATGCAACTTTTTTCACCCATTTTTTGCCAATAAAATCATTTTCTGACATCTATGTTGGCCAAAATGACCAAGGTTCAATGTCTAACGTATCAACCTACTAGCATGCTGAATTTCATTTTCCTCCAAGCTCTAATTACGAAAATATGGACGTTTTTTAGGTGTTTGGAACGGAAGAGGAGGAAGAGGAAGAGGAAACAGAGCAAATATAATATGTTTCCTTCGGTAAACATAATTAGTATCAGTAGTCCAGTTTGTACTACAAACATGTACCTTTTCATCTGTTCACCTGTACTTAGCCCGATATGGCATGGAAGTGTACTAAAGTTATGTTATTATTATTTTGTATATTTCACTTCTGTGCACGTAGGAAGACGAAGCGTTACTGAGGGAGGTACAGAGCCCGTGTATGGAGATGGCGGTCGGCAGCAGGGCGGAGGAGAAACGGATGCTGCGTAATGCGTTAAACTTACTCCAGACAAATCAATAAATCCACATTAACGGTGCTTACATGTACATGTTATTCTGTGTGACAACATGGAAAATTGTAAAATCATGATGGGGTGGCATTTCTTCCACCCCTTGCACGTTTTTTTTCCATTGTAATATTTTGTATAACTTTTATTATGTATGTACTAAAAATAAATAAATGGAAGACTGTCTTCAACTCTCACTGTAGTTAGCGGTGGAGGAATATTGCGTGGTGGGTTTGTCAGACTTCAAGTGTCTGGAAGCTACATTCGATCACAGCTTTATTTCCTGTTTAACATACTCCTGCCTGTAACACACGTTTATTATCTAAAATTGGTAGGAAAAATAAGTTCATTTTATCAGTTCTGACAAGATCTTGAGCAAACATGGAACCGAGGGTATATGTTTTTGTTCATGATCAGATCTGTAACTCCCGACACTGTATCAAACCAAGTCTAGTTTTTTTTTATCAAGGACAATGATTGTTGCACGCCTCCTTGCGGTTGTCATGTGTTTAACCACAGGGGCCTGCTTTCACAGATATCCCACCGCAGACAGTTATTCACGAACCAATAATTCTGTAACAAACAGCTCACTTACCTCAGTTCGCCAGACGAAGGTGAGCGGGTCACACATGATCAGACAAATAAGGGAACACCCCTCTTCGTTAAGTCCGCTAATTGTTCGGAAATGCCTTCTGGCACCACAACAGCGAAGGACTGTGCTTTGAATACCAGCTATGTCCAGTATTTGAATGCAAAATGAATACGTAATCTTTTTGTCATAGACATTACCAAAGAAGCATAGCTTAAAAGTAGAGCTTAACGTTTAGCTGACATCAACGACATAACTAGGTGAAGTGACATTTCGTACGTTATCCTCCTTTTGTAACGATAACCGCCCTGCTAAGGTGAGGCCATCTAACAACAGGGCACGCCCTTCAGCAAGGAACCACATTAGGGACCATCCGTAAATGCAATAACATGCACATACACACGAAGAAACAGGCCTACGTATTTATACATTCTTTGAACTACACAGTAAATACTAACTAGACACTCACCGAACAAAAGAGAGAACAATTTCTTGAGGGCACGTTTCACAAGCAGCATTCCTTTGGGCGTAAAGAAAGAATTACAGTTGGGATAACGCCACTAATTTGTGAGGCGTGTTCTCACACCATTGCCGAGGTTACGAGTGATTACGTAAAACTTCGGGCACGCCCAGAGCAGACGCGTCCCTCACCTACACTGTCATCTGCTGTTCAATCCGCAAGGACACCTCAGAGCGTCTCAGTGGCCTTAAGGAACTTTACTTTCTGTCCGCTAAGTCGAAGGTAATACTTCACATATTTCTAACACGCCATGAATGTAAGTAATGGAACAAAAAATTTACTATCTAAACTTGCAACGCGCTTTAATGTGTTTGGTGACACATAAAAAGCACAGACAAGGTCTCTGCTGAATCTCACTTGAAGTATAGACCTTAACTATGGATACAAACGTATCAGCACGCGTTTGGGAACGGTTTACGACACTTCATACATATATGAAATGAAATGTTTTGTGAGCTTGACTATACCTGGTCATTTTTGCGGGGCGCTACATATTTTGTTCACAGAAGATATATACATATTTAAGGCACGTCCTTGGGCGGAACACCTGGAATCGTTGGTCAACCGCACCTAGTTTAATAATACCGCACGAAGTTTTAACGTTCCAGAATGCGGGACTTGCCAACTGTCTTTTGCTAAAGTACTCTGTAGAAATATGCTCTCCCTCCACCTTTTAATCCGAAATGCGTCTTTATATTCGTACTAGTCCAAGGAGCACCCCAGGCGGCCTAACACACGCGTGTGCACACAAACAACTGGCCCACCCCTCTCTGCATGTGAAGTAGTGGGGTAAAATGTGTACTTTGGCATTCAGAAGAGAGAATACAATTATACAGTATTAACAATAGAAAAATATCGATAGACTTGAAGTGTGCATCGTCTTGATATAGCCTGTAATTATTAACACGTAGATACTCCATAGATATACGTATATATTCAACCCCGGTGGAACGTAAAGCCCCCCCCCACAATAATGTGTAACGATCTACCGCGACTGACCAACATTCTGAATTTTGAAAGGACAGTTATATAGTTGTAGTGTAGCTTGATATCCCTTATTTTACTCAGTAGCTTGGAAGAATGTATTCTATATACGTTACCGGGATTATATTTGACGATCTTCCCCTAAAGAATTTGACGGTTTGATATGAAGTAAAGATTTGCTGATCTATCCAACTGGTTTTGCAAGATTCCAGGCCGCTCGTGTCACCTCGAACTCTGACCCGGTGCACCTTGACTGGCGGTTGGGTCTGTGCCAAAACACCAATGTTGTCAGTAGTCACGTACACGAGGATGTATGGATGGTTACAGACATCCAATGCAGTTCTTAGGGCTCGGAAACCCGATTTTTCAAAGACAATATTCTAGTCACTTATCTACATACTGAGTTAACACACTATCCCAGTGTATATGACCCTCAACAGGACCCAAAATTCTGACGGAAAATGGTTACTAAAAGGGCCCTGGGCTGATTTTTAGGGTACCACCCATAAAATAAAGGACTCATCTTGGGGCTTGTTTCTGCAGTTTTACATGCCCAAAGAATGAAATACTGATTATGTGCTTATGTAGGCAGTATGTGTTAATATCATAAAGATTGACTTATTCAAAAAATGTCCGTTTTTGCTGCTCTGAAATCGCATTGGATGCCTTTAACAGTGATCTTTTGGAATGTTTATATTTATCCGTAGCTTTAGCTTACCGACAGGACAAATCTACGAAAATGGGACTGAAAGTAATAGCGCATTCTGTCGTCTTTATTTTCCAGAGAAAGAGTCAGAGAACATGCCGATTTTATCGAGTTCGTGCTGTGGGTGCTGTGACCTCAGGACGGGGTCGGTGGTGGTCGGCGCACTCTGTCTGGTACGTTAAGATGTTCATGATTGTTTTTGAAAAGATGTTTTCTTCCATACGTGTATAAACAATAGCCGTATTACTATCATGTGAATGGCTCTCAATCAGAATTCACCACGTTAAAAGTGTCAAGCGTAATTCTAATAGATTTTCCATGTTTCTTGCAGAACAATGCCGTGTTCGCCTTCCTGTATTACTATCATGTAAATGGCTCTCAATCAGAAATCACTACGTTATATTAAAGTTTGACGAGTACTTATAATAGATTTCCACATATTTTGTGCAGAACAATGCTGTGTTCGCCTTCCTGTACAACCTGGGTACAACTCAACATCTGGGCACTCCGGGTACCTGGAGTAAGTGACAACATCCCCCTAAAACTTTCATTTCTGTTCGACAACAATGATGCGTAAGGCACTGACCTGACGGTTATGCTTGTTTTAGTACTAGTGCTATTTGTAGCTTTTATTGACATCTCTTTTTCCCTGCCTCTAGCTGCCTGGGTGACCCTCATCCTGGAGGTCCTCTTCGTCATAGCCTGCTGCCTTCTGCTCTTTGGCATCAAAAAGGTAGCACGTCATTCGTGTTTTATACAAAACTAGAGTTCCACGATCTCATACCTTCAAATGATATTGAGACAGCGTGTGGATGTGCGTGTGTGGGTGTACGTTGCCCTCACGCCTATATGCGTGTGTGTGTGCGTGCGTGCGATCGAGCGTGTGTGTGGGTGTGTGTGTGTGTATGTGCGTGTATGTGTGTGTGAGCGTGTGTATGTGTGTGTATGTGCGTGTATGTGTGTGTGAGCGTGTGTGTGTGTGACTGTGACTCTTCTAATGGAGTTAGCAAAAAAATCATTCATAATCGGTAACGCCTGAGATGTAAATAGTGTCATAGTCACCAACATTGCTGCATTTGTGCTCTAGCATTTTCCGTTGGTGTTCCGTTCACAGGGCAACGTGACGTTCATGAAGTTCTGGCTGGTGATTGCCATCATCCTGGTGATTTGGGAGCTCGTGATGATCATTATTCGTACCGCGCAAGTAAGTAGTATCATGAAGGCGCTGATTCGTCTCCCTGCAAACCTGATCACATATATAACTTAACGACACTTTAAATGGCTTGAAACGTTTGAAAGATGGTAGGGATTTTGAAGGCACAGACACTGAATCATGAATTTCATTACGTTTCGCAACCTACACATAAGGAAACAGAGATATTGTGTTTATTTATTGCAGAAACAAAAAAAATATGCTTCTCTCGTATATTTGTTATCTGTGCATTGCGTATCTACCCTGCATGTCTTGCTTTCTGACTAAGAAACAAATGTACTTTGTGTCTTTATACCGGTGTTGTGGAGTGTACTTTAAATCAGATATGACTAGGTAGGGAATGAGTCCAAGTCTAAACAAAAGGTTCTACCATCCACTGATAGGCCGGCAAGTCGATCACGGACTTAGCTGCAATCTTGGGAGTCGGGTGGATCTTAGTACTGATCTTCATCGGAGTAAAGGTGAGATAGTCCCAGGAATCATGTCAAGTAAACCCTTCCGACAGACATTTTCAATCTACTTATGTCATGCCCCTACTCCATATCTTCGTACTTAGGCCAATATATATGTAGTTCTGCAGCATTACAAAAGAGAGAAAGTATTGTAACAGATAGCAACGCTAATATGCATAATGTTTTACGCCATTTAAGTAGACATTCCTGTAGTAATACTAGTAGTCTCTTATTCCTGTAGCAATACTAGTAGTCTCTTGGAATAGACTTGATTGTATTGTTCACATTGTCATTGTTGTCATACATTGTACCATGTACAACTGTCGAGCAATAAAGTTCATTATTGTTGCCAGTAATTACCTGGTGTTAGGAGAATATAAATGTTTTCATGAATGTTATCTAAAGTAAAAATACTGTATATAACATTTAGTTGTTTGTTAAATACGTCTGATTTGAGAATTTCTCTTGTATTTCTTGTCAGATCTACGGTATCCTGGTGGTGTACTCCTACACCCAAACCGCCACCGTCGTTGCCTGATCATGAGAAGGACCAAACTGAACCCACCACAGCTTTGTGACAGTCCGATGACAGAATGTGTTACTTTATATTTCTATTCATCCGTGATATAGCAGTGTATCAATCTAAAACGCGAGGTACATTCTAAAACTCAACTTTAAGCTAGGCACTGCTAGAGATTTGTGTCGTGATAACCACGTAATGCGTAAAGAATTATTCTATTGTGCTCATAAGGTATTTAATGAGTTAGTGATGATGCCTAGAGGATAATAAAACAGAAGCCAAATATAAAGCTAGATTGATATTAAAATTGTGCTATTATAATGTGATGGCAGACAGACCGCAAGTGAATTTTTCGTTCAGTTATTCGGAAATGGCATATTTACTAGTATTGTAATTGTTAACTTAAGGTAGTTTTCATTTACAATAGAATAATGATACTAATGGCATAAGTGTACTGCGTTTTAACAGTTGAGGTATATATGGTTTTATTGCTGAATATATATATAATAGTAACGGTTACATTGGCGTTGGTTACGTCGCTTATAGCCCAAAGCACAACTCACTCGGCATTTGCTCCGTTACATTTACGAACTCGTTTTTCCTGTTTAAGTCTCGATGTTAATAATTATTGCTTGCTTACTTATATTGCATATTGCATGGTTGTTGTCACCTAGTTGTATCTGGCTCTATTGAGTTTTGCTTCAATTGTAACGATCTTTTGATCACATTACTAATTTGCATTTAAGATGAAAAAGAATAAAGATATAATGGGCGTACCTGAACGCTTTCATGTTTTCTTCCTAACATGTTTATGACATTTCAAGTGTATTGAGGAACCTGTCTGCAATTACAGGGTCCATGAAAGAAGATTGTTAATTTCTTTTTGAAGAAAACTTAATTTCACATTCAACTCAAGGACACACTGGTACTTTGATAAACATGCTAAATTATCTGTCAAAATCGCATGATTATTTCTAATATCCACTGATGGTTATGGAAAAAGGAGTAATTAAGAAGTTATAAAGTGTTATAAAGTCTAAAAAGATGTGACATTCATAAAGCTTCAAAGTCATGGCAACAGTACACGTCAGATTTACATGAGTATATGTTGATTCCTGTTTTCCATTCAGACGAGTCAGTTTTTGAGTCAGTCCCGACCAAAACGTTGTGGTTCTAGTCAAGCAAAAAGTCACCGGCACTTAAATAGCGATGCTTCGGTTAAGTTCGAATTCCGTCGCTAACTCCCCGGCCTGCCATGAACCAAACTCCCATGTTTCTTGTACATCTTCACCTTTCTGTAAACTCCCCTGTACCGGGGACGCAGTATTTCCACAGTTTTGCTGTTCGGATATCGACTTCGTAAAATCCCATCCCATGTTTGTCTGGTTCGACCCAGCATGGAGCAGAAGTTAGGAGTTACTGAAAACTCTTCATTCCAGGTGCTGTTTGCGACCTCGAGCGGACTTGTCTTGTTTTTGTTGCCACAGTACTGCGTGACTTCTATATTTACTTGTTTAAAATGACGCACTTCCGCTTGAAAGTCATCCCCTTCCTGGCTGATTTGCCTCCACAAAGAGTCATTAAAATGTTGAAATAACATGGAGTCTGCATTGTTATGTTTTAGAAACGTTTGTTTCATTTCGTCGGTTATATTTGGTTTGGTCGCTTTGCCATTTTTTGTTCGGTGCTTATGGTCGTAGAGAATATCACGGATGGACCAGCACATTTTCCGTTTCAAAAGCACCAAAGACTGGTCAAAGTATTGGAGAATCATCACCAGTGTGAAATCCTGTTCGATTCCTTCAATAAAATCACCAATGGCCTCCGAGTTCTCGTACAAACTCTCGGGAAACCCGAGATCTCGCACCATACAATTCCTGACGCATGCGTGTTCGTAGTTAGGATCTGTGGGTCCCCCGGGACGATAGATGTTGTCCCATCTAGCGGGGTTCTGTAAGTATTGCAGGATGGCTGGATTCAGAGTACTGCTTCTCGAAACAGGCGACGTGTGACGAGATATCGAGTTTCTGGGTGGACCTTTTTTGTTCGACACAGCTATTCGTCTTTGCCCTCTTTTCTGTCGTGCTTTAAACCTGTCTAGGGTACTCCGGGCATTCCTGGGCGGGCGAGAAGAGCCTATCATCCCTGGAAAATATTTCGCCATTTTGAAGTAGATAAATGCAGATAAGAAACGATCCACTGGCTCTCGCAAAATTGCCACAAACTTTGTGTCTTCAGGCATGAGTCGGAGAATGCCAGATCTGTTATACACAGCGTGGTGAGCAAAGACGTTCCAACGTGTTCCCCTAGGTGGCGCTTCGTAGTCGTCTTCCGTGATTTTGCCAAAGCGCCCAATCTGGGGCTTGTCCTCTCCTTTTGGCAACGCCACTAGTAAACGATGGACGTGTCCAAATCGCAAGAAGATATTTTGGGTCGTCGAAGAGCCACATTTATGGATTTTCATGAAGGCCACGTTCTCGTGGAACCTGCATTGCCATTGTGTTGTGTTGTCCGTCTTTCTGTAAAACATCGAACAAATGCCGAGTCAAAATTCTGATATTCTATGAAGTTTAATAGGACAAACATCGATAGTGGGTTTTACCACTAGTATTGATCAAACGAAAGGGTACCATCTCTATATAATGTCCTTGGTGAAATGAAGGCGGTTAAACGGACATACAAGACCAAAAAGACATGTACTAACTAGAAAAGTAACATTTGCAAAGCAAATGCAAAATAATGTTTAGTAGTTACCTTCGCATATGGTCTGGTCTGTTAATTCTTACTCTCAAACACATTCACATATATGGTGACACCAGCCTAAATCCCTCATTATGTAACCCAACACCAGTTACCAAGGTGAGAGACCGTCTGGTTATTGACCCGGTCGACGTCAGGGTTTGGAACGGAAGAAGAAGAAGAAGAAACGAAGCATAAACAATGTTTTCCTTCGGTAAACATAAAAAGCATGTACTAAACACATCAAGTCAGAGAAAAATGACATATAGCTATGGTAAGAAGTACGGAGTGGTCGTCAGTACCTTTTCTGTGGTGCCACTGCAGGAGATGGGTGCCTCTGTCGCTTCTGTTTGTAAAGTAACGTAGAAAAATAGATGTCTTCCGTCACTTCCGGTTGCGGCTGCTCTATAGCGGAAATGACGTGTGAATGTGACGAATACCGGATGTAGGTTCCATAGTAAGCCAGTATAATCACACACGACACCACGACGGCCACTGTCATGCGCACCAGAAATTCCAGGCTTATCATTTTCATCGACATGTACACCTGGAAAATGAACGTTCCATATCTTATCGGGGTTAGCGCTATGCATTGAATGTTCTTCATATATTTTATTCATGTCTATGAGTGATACAATTGCAAAGTGTGTCTTTTGAAAGAGATATTGTCATATCATAGTGGACATTTACTATTGTATCAGTCTGAAAAGGCAATATTATTAAAGTTGTTGTTGTTAAACGTATAGCTTGAATGGCGTTCTGTTTATAAGAAGGAATAGATGCTAAAAGTCCGTATATGTATCAATGTACTATGTGTGTTCAAACACACTATTCGATTGTAGATCTTTTGGCTGCAATACAGTATCAAAACGGCAAGATAGTATCAAATTGGCCAGGCAGTATCCGAATACGATACCCATTTGACTGGCATAAAAAAGAACTTTCAGAAAAGAAAGCCCGATAAAAACGCCTAAAAACCAGACAGTCTAAGCCTTACATAAATGAAGTGCATTCGTAAGCGTTAAGTCTGTTCGCGTGCAGACCCTGGCATTGCGGTCTCAGTCGTTTAGTTCAGATCTACAGGATAATGGGTTCTGATTGTAAACTTTTTTGTCGACAACAGAGACATGACGTACAATACAACAGCTGCGACCCGTCCTTGGAACAGGTCCAAAACCGACACGCAAAAGCCTGATATGGCCGGCTTGATGGACGGATTGTATTGTAACCTTAATGGTCTTGGGTGCAGGGTCTGTCACTGTGTATTTTCGTCAACATAGGATTATTGCTATCACCTTATGATGGCCCTGCTGAGGCCATAGTTCTACTGTTATAATCTCCAATACAAGTAGTGCATTTCCAGGACATGTATCAAATAATGTCTTTACTGTCTAGTACATGTACTACTGTATGGTTTCTTTACTGAAAAGCAGAATTCAATGCTATACTGTTATGATCACCAATGCAAATATTGCATTTTCGAGAGACGTATCAAATCAAATAGTTTTCTTACAAGTACTACTGTATGGATTCTTATGGACTGCGAAGATCCTTAATGATGTGGCGTGAGAGAGAGAGGTGCGGATATTATAGAAAACTACGAATACAATAGCAGAAGTCTTTCTCGTTACTGTACAGTCACCCCGGTTGAATTTTTTACTATTCTAAAATTCTACAGGGATAGTGCGGTTTACCTGGTATCTAGCCGTTTAAGCCAAGCGTTTAAGACTCGCTCCAGCGGTCACAACCCGCATCAACTGCTTAGCTGCGGAGCGTATGGCATTTCCAGCCGTGGAACCGTGTAGAAACGACCTCAAGCTGAAAATGATGGATACTTATGATAATACATGCAGTTTACCAGTTCACGTGTTTCAACAGTTTTCAATTGTTTTTTTTTTAATCGTAGGAAGACATATATAGTACGTATAGTATGTAGACGGCATTTCTAAAATGTAGTATCTAAGAAAAGTCTAATTTTTCCATTTCCCAACAAAAACGGTGAGAGGGGCCCAAAGGCGTTCTATTCACAGGTACACGTATGAGGTTACTGGGCCATTCCGTACGGTGTTATATCAAAGAGCAATACGCACAGAGAACAAGAGATGCAGTTGCAGGAGACATACCTTGTTGCTGAGATATAAATACCGTCACAACCAGACTGCCACCAGTCACACGGATACTTCGAACAGGAACAAGAAGACGATATAGTACGCAGGAAACGTGAAACCTGAGCAATACGCACAGAGAACACGAGATGCAGTTATAGGAGACATACCTTGTTGCTGAGATATAGACACCGTCACAACCAGACTGCAACCAGTCACGACACTTCGAACAGGACGAAGAAGACGATATAGTACAGGACGATATAGTGGATGACCGGATGACCGGTATAGCGTGCCGCGAGTTGTTGTTCTTTCTACCTGGTATCTGTTCAGACTCGATCTCTAACCTATTTCTCAGACAGCTGTACACAAAGGCGCGCGTCCGTGGGCATAGCGAGAGAGAATCATCATCGATCTCCGATACAAATGACGTCTCCGTGACATCCTGTAGGTATCACGGATATTGGGACAATAACTAAATGTACATTGCTACCTTGTGTATTTTATTTATCCCATCACGATATGCTGAGAGAATGTGACAGAAAGTAAAAAACCGCTTTGTCACCATGGCGACACAATGATTGCATGGTATTGAAAATAATTCACCGAACAATTAATTCAACATTGGCGCTATTCTGACTTCTGTGATGAGAGCAATGTTATCTAATGTCCGTGTTTGTAGGGTTATATCGATTGAACAGTTTAAACATGTAGGGTTATATCGATCGATTGAACATTATGCTGATGGTTGCTAACCAACCATATCAACCACCCCATCTACCGAAATAACACAAAACTGCACCAGCCATCGAAATCGGTTTCCATGCAGAGGTAAGAATCAAAGTAAACGTAATGTCTTAATATCTACATGATCATGTTCGGGTACCGTACTACGGGTGTGTGGGTGATCATGACTAGTCCTAAGGCTGACCCTGTCCTATAAGATGATCAATGTACGGTCCCTGAAAAAACATGGCGGTGACATGACTTGTTCGGGATGGTAGTTGTTGGACAAGTCCGTCACCAAGTTATACCAAGGTCATTGTAAATAAGATATCACTCAACAGCACGTAGTATCGCTATAACGTGGCCAATCAGAGCGGGTTAAAGTTTTGTATGATGATGCACATATCATTACAAATGGTTACTAAATTGTCTAGGTTGTCAATTTTCTAGGTTGCCTGTTTGACGTCTGTTATTGTGGAATTTTTCTCCACTGAGATTTGAAAAACAGTACTAGTGTACCTCCTAGTTCCATGCTCTGGCTCCTAACCATGACAAACTTTCCTTTTCCCCTGCATAACACATCCGAACACGTCCACACCCCAGTATAAGATGTTCGTGGACCGCCCCTAATCAGAGTTAAGTGCTTGTTCCGTGTGGAATGTATGGGTTTAGTCTCCTGGACATACTCTAAAATTAAAGTACTTTTGGTCAGGAGAAGTACAGACGTGATACATCGGAACTGTCGGAGCTGACCATTCTGTCAGTGAAAGATGATATGTGCACAGTTAAACAGGGATATGAACTGTTAAATCTTTAATTCAATTAAAAAAGAAAACATGAAGTTCAGTGATTTTCAAAAGGAGAAGTCAAGATGACACAGCTAATGATCACAAAGGGGTGTTTTCAGTGACACAACTGACAGTGGCAATAGATACAGAATAGACGGCTGCATTACATTTTAGTCCTCGTTTTTGCAAACTTCTAAACGGGCGAAATTACCTTAAAATGGTTCAAACAAATAAAAAAAAGCCTTAAAGTTAAAATTTCAGTATTAAACAGCTGTTTAATACTAGTCAATTCGTCTATCGTTACCGTTCCTGAGAAACTTAAAAGGCAAAGAAACAAAAATATAGACTTAATGTTCTCGGTAAAATTACACCCCAACCTACAGACAAGCACGATAAGAATCGTCCCCTGGGGCAGACCATTAACTATACAGGTTGGGTCATGAATTTGCATACTATAGTATAGCATTAGCCAAACCACCGACACACCCAAAACAGCGCCAGATGCGTGACATCATTTCACCGACTGTTTTTGAAACGCAGGCGACAGAGCGTCGCACTGACAATACGGGCTGTACCATTTTCAAATTCCAGGTGTGCTCTTACCACTATAATCTACGAAACATCACATGTTTCATCACTTAGATCCACCTTTTTCGAAAGGTAGTGATTTAAAATGGTCAAATGATGCCTTGTAATGGCACCGTCTTGCTTTTTATTCCTTAGAATTGTCTAGAGAGCAGTTGAAATTCTATCTCTCTCGTGCAGGAGTGGTTCCTCCCTGATAAGGTCACGTAACTGAACCTGCGGTACGTGTGGATACACCCAGAGCTAACGAGCAACAGGCCTTGGTTTTGTCCCCTTTTCTTGTCCGACATTTTGGTTTACAAGAAAACGCCAGTCTGTTTTAAGACGTCTTCAAAGGAGACAGGTGCGTAGAGCCAGCTGTTTTCGTATATATATTGACGGTGTTTGTTCGATAAGAAATGTTCCAATGTCGTAGATAATCATGTGTCAAGGAAAGATCTTAATTATTTTTGAGTGCTTGTGACACTAAGACCCAATGTTCCAGTCTTACGCAATAGGATCCACTACTGTCTTCAATCTTAAAGTGCTTCATTGTTATTCTCTTTGTCGAAGTGAGTGGTTCCTGTTTGTTTTGTGAGATGATCTTTTATCTGGGGTCGTCGTAAATTGGTGGATCTCGGTGTGCCAGTTTTTGGACACAAAGCCATCCAAAACTAGTATAAGTACTTAGATTGTAGCCCACTTTCAGACTGATAGAATTTTGGTCACGCTTTAGTCGAGGATAACAGCATAGTTGTGGTTTGGGGGCTACTGATCAGAACATTAAGTCAGACATTTCATCAAATCAGTTATCTGATTGCTCTAGGCTATATTTTGCACGTGAGGTCTAAACGGTCGTCACCAAATTTAGGACGCGATGTTACTCAGACAAAATGGGACGGCTATATCTCCTGTCTCCTGACTTAGTACTTTTAGTATGTCGACAAGACATTCATGTAATACTTTTAAAGCCAAACCTTTATGATATTGAGACAGGGGGCGCAACATCATTTATACATAAAAGCAATATTACTGTAGTCTTTGCGGTTCGTATATAACGTAACGTAACGTTGCTATCTATTATGTGTATTATAGAACGATTCCGCCAAATTTTACTCTTTTACAACTTTTACCAAGCAGTAGTTGTTGCCCCCCTCCCCTCCTCTCCCGAGATTCACGCTCCAATTAGCTGTAATCATCACGGGGAGACATTTGAGACGCCAGTCTTAGCGGGAACATTTTACGGTTGTGCTGTGCCAAGGACTTCGGTTAGGCGCTCGCCTCGGGGCACGATCGGGGGACATCCATTCATATTCTGAACAGGGTACGGGCTGACAATTCACATACATTCTAAGCTTTTAGTCCTACCTTCATGAGCATATTGCGAAAATAACGAATCTTGATGTGATTAGAGTTAGAATGTTCGATTGAACTATATATTGCATGTACAAAGTCAAAGAGAGACGGTAATATTTTTGAAGGCCGCACTTAATTTTTGGCCCGTATTAGTGATTGAATATTCCCACACCTGTGATATATGATATAGCGGAGAGCACGCTATTTAGAATGGGGCATTTTCCAAAGCCGGGCTCCCAAGGGAGAACATGGTGTCCTTGAACTTTATGAAATGGCTTCAAAGCAAAGATGAGAAATGTTTGGAGCTCTATAATCAAGGGGCCTTTCAGCCTTCTTGCTATAACATAATTAGTTCTGCTTGTGCTTAGAGTATAGCGTGTATAGTTTGTAGTTATACCTAGCAATTATCCACTATTTATTCAAACCAAAGGTTTTCTAGAATAATTACTAGACATTCTTCTTACAAAGCAGTTCTTGGAAAGGTTTCAATGTCAGTTGTTTTATCAGCGAACCAGCTCCAAACACGGACGTTTTTCTCTTCTAATCAAGTGCGTGGGCGTAGGCAGGGTAATACGATATCTCTGTTTAAGTGAATTAACTTGCTTTCTTTTGGATTGGGGATCTAGAAACAAAAGACTGTAAAGTAAAGAAAGACATGAACACAATTTAAATCTGTTTGCCCCCGCAACTAAAATGGTCATAGAACGAATTCTCGGATGCCTGAAATTCTTAACATGTCGCTTGAGGTCGCTGCTAGACTGTTGTATATGTCGTTTCAGTCTCTGAGTGGTGAGTGACAAGACAAGCATCAGAATCCAAGATGACGCTCTTAAAGTCCTGTTGCTGCATCTTCACTGTGAAGCTGGGTTCTATTATCACTGGTCTTGTCTTCCTGGTGAGTAATGTGTGCCAAATATGAAATAGCTGTTGTAGAGAACAAAGGCATTTGCTTAGGCTTATGTTTTGCTTAATCTATTAACTTTCATGTACATTTGGTTTTTCTTTCCAGATTCTGTGTATTGTGGACATCGGTGTGAAGGTTGGGTACCGAGATGCGTACGGAGGAGGTAGGTGTTCACGATCTACATTGCTAAATGCATAGATGAGTAGGCATGATATTTTCATGTATAAACAAGGTTGGGTTGTTTATCATAGTAAGTCGGACGTCTTAGACTACTAGTATGTATAACACTATTTACCTTCTTTCTTCCTTATATTTCCCATCCCAGTTGCCTGGTCCAGTCTGGTGTTTGATTTGATCTTCATTATCTTCAACGTGTTTCTCATCATAGGGGCGTACAATGTGAGTACAAAGTCAACGTTAAAACCGCACATTATCAATCACCGTGCAAGGGCGCTCCCTAGCGTACTAGTAATGAATTGCAGGAAAAGAAGCCACTAGCTGCGAGGTAACCTTGGTTCCTGTCGCTCGTCTATGAGCTCACATTACACTTTGAAAACTGTAGTTGTCTTGCATAAAAAAAAAAACAAGCGTATGTGCTTCCTTAAACAATAAATTTAGAGAAGTTGCCCGTTTGCTAACAGGAACCACCTTCCGTGGAAAGGGGAAACTTTTCTTTGAAAAATCTCCTTTACCATACATCTAACCTTGACCTTGCCCCCCTCCCCCAGGACGTACTGTGGATGTGTGCTGTGTGGGTAGTGGTGGCGCTTGTCTACCTGCTAATTCTTCTCATACAGAACATCGTGGCGACTGTCACAGGGAACAACAGCAAGGTGTGTGAAGACGTTCTCTTGGTTACGTTAAATGTTGTCCTTGGAGTTATCCAAGATGACTTTCTGTGAAACGTGAAGAGCTCACCTTGAAGTTATAGAGAGATGGTCAGATTTTAGCGCTGTAGATAAAAAGTCTGCCCATGCAAAATCATTGAATTGTACCAAACCGTTATTCTTGCAATTGTCGTGTTGCCTGATTTACTCCTGTTGTAAATTTAATTGTGATGATTGATGTTTCACAGTGGCTTGGCGCAGGGATCGTCCAAGGGGCCAATGCGGGGACTTGGATCGTCTTCGTTTTTGTACTGTTTATCATGGTGAGACGGAAATCTAGACGGAATAACTGTATTATACGAATTATGTATGTAGTTTTAGTTATTAAGCTTTCATGACTTTCATAAGTAAAATCTCAAAGACAATGTCAAGGTGAAAATATCATGCCAAGGTCATATATGCCATGTCAATAATCCTTCTTTCCGTCTTCTCTATATACTTTAATTAAATTGACCCGTACTTCAGTCACACCCACTGACGTTATGAACTTTAGGCCCTAACCTTCAAGAAAGCCTAGTTCGTCCTTGAAACTGACGTTTTCATTAGGGCCAGCTTTACAGTTGGATAAAGCACTGTAAGATTCGTGTGTGGTGATTATTATGGATGGAAGATGTATGGAGGCTTATGTTTTCGTTTCCCTTTGACTGTCAGGTGTATGGCCTGCTGGTGGTCGTCTCGCACTGCCAGAACCTGCGGGATGAGGAGAACAGGGTGCCGAGAGGAGAGGTACGTACGTCACGTCAATAAATATCGTTATGGTAATCATGACATGCTGTGCTGTGATTGGTAGTAATCAGGACATTCTTTGCTGTGATTGGTCCATTCATAGCTAATCAAGAAGCCCGTGACACTTGTTGATTCTTATATAATCTTTTGTCATTCTAGCCACCGGCTGAGACCCAAGCGTAGCGAGGGAAGACGGCAACCTGGGCACTTGGTCAATGTGGCATACATAGTCTTCGTACATTCAAAAAAGTTCACTGTATATCGCAGATTTATTATTCTGTTGTTATAGAAAAAGAATATGCTTCAGCTTAGCTGTTGTAGGATAGGTTATTTGTAGTGCCGTCTGACATACGTCTGATTTCATTGCTTTTATCGTCGTGATATGTCTACGTCAAGAAATAACGTTGTGTTACACAACATGGTTTTCACGAGTAGGACCAGTATAGTACATGTATGTAGTATACTGTATTTGAATTTATAACGTCGTGAGTGAATACTCCTTTCACTGCAAACATGGATAAGATATTCAAATTCACAAATAAACCAAGGGTAAACCCAAGTAAATGTTCAACTAGTCAGTCGCCGTTTCGCTCTCATTATACACAAATTAGATGTTTTGATTGTTTTACGTGAAGTTTGGCTTGCAATAAAACTTTTAGAATTCTATCGTACCATAAAAAACTTTTTCGATGTTGTGAACGTGACTTTTTCGTTTTGTGAGAAATACCTGATCCAATTTTAAAAGTTGTTTTTTCTTTATTTGTCATGTATACATGTATGCATTCCAATGTTTCTCATTAAACTTTTTGAATAAATTATATATGTGTTTGCTCATTTGTTTGGTCTGGTATCTGAAGTAGATGTGATTGGGAACAAAAGGTAGCCTGGGTGCCATCCTCCGTAGTTTCCGCCCGCCCCCTAACGTGGTGCCCAGCGACATTAGGGAGCGGGCGGAAAGTACGGAGGATGGCACCCAGGCTAAACAAGAGGGAAGTGAATCATGGGTATGGACCACCAACTGTATAGGGGAACCATGAAACTACACAAAGTGATGTAGGAACTCAAAACAATTATTGCGCTGTCTTCGATTTACTGTTTCTGACGGTACAACGCCATTGATTTGTTAAAGAATTGTTGTGAAGATTGCTAGAAGGTAAAATATCGAATCGTGAAAAGAAGACGAAGACAAAAAAAAAAACTCTCCTTGGCATGTATTGTTGCTATGCAGAATTTACTACTCGTCGAAATCAAATATTAACTGAACACTTGTGCTTTCGCCATCAATAAAACAATGATTCCTTTTATGAAAATGTATGACCGGATGAAACACTCTTTAACGTTGTAAGCGATATCGGGAAGTACGTCGCTTTGTTTGGGTTTCCCTCGTAGCGGAGTAAGTGGCTATTATCCTATCGGCCGCAGCATGGTTACACAGGGTACTTGGTGTGTGCATTATCTGTATCGGTATAGCCGGTATAACCGCCCTTCGGCGTAACACACCAGCTTCGCAGGCACGGCTTGTTACACTCAATCTTTGCACATTTGATTGCAGGAGTTGTTTAAAGCTTTCTAGTGATGATGCCCCAACTGTGCTTGGTGGCAACGAGTTCTACGATAGTTCTGGGGAAATTCTGGGGAGTTTTTGAATACCTAAATTCTTGGTTGATAACTATGATATTTGAAGCCATGGCTGTTTCTTGTTCTTTTCTGGGCTGGTATCAGATACTTAGTGGTTGGTACGTCCACCAGTTTATTAGTCATTTTGTACATCATGCACAGTCTGAACATTCTACGCCTGTCTTCCAGCGACCCCCACTGTAGGTTTCTTTTTATTTCCGTTACACGTTGATAGTTGTTCGTGCAGAATCTTGCAGCTTGGTTCTGTACCCTTTCCAATTTATCTTTGTCTTTCTTTGTATATGGATCCCATACTGGTGCCATCAGGCGGGGTGGACCGCTGAACTTTGATCATATAATGTCTTAGGTAACACATGCGTGCCAATGTAATGCACTAACTGACAGTAAAGGATAGATGTAGCGGAGTTTGTACCGAACACACCTTTACGCCAGGTAGTTGAAGTTTTGCCGGGGCAACTAACTTTGCTGAACTGTTTCGCCAAATTCAAGATGGCGGACGATTTATGACAACGATCCCATGTTGATTGCGTCACATCAAAACTGTAGTACCGTGCACTACTCACGACCTCGGCTATTACATGCCTAACATCTGGCCAAGTCTCATTATCGGGCGCCTAAAGTACACTCGTCAACTTGTCGAGACGGACGTAATAGTACTATGAAACCGCTATTGGTGGAGTTATGACGGCAGCATCAATATCGTAAAGCTTCAAACTGGGGCACTTTGACTGGGACCGAAGTTTTTACATGTTTGCCTCCCACATCAGGAACTCCGTTTTAATCAGAATTTATCTGTTAGAAATTGTAAACATGCTAGATTAAGAAGCTACTAGTCTCCCTGATGTCACGATTAGCCAATGTGGTGAGGCTGATACCTGGTCACACTACTAAGCCAGAGATCGTTTTGCTAAAATTACTGGACAAACTTCAAAATATTTTCACGCCATATACAATAATTAATATAATATTAATCCCGGTTATTACATACGTAATACTTCGGGCAGTAAAATCAGCTATGGGGTAAGTCTAATTACCCAACGTAACTAAAATTAAATACAGCACTGGGTTGGTAAGAAGAGAAGCCACATCACAGTGAGAAAGATTTCATATTTACATTTATTCACAATATTCACATTAGTAGGTGTAGAACAGAAAATACACGTGGGAAATCTAGCATCATTCGATACACACACACACACATATATAAGTTATATATATGTATATTACCAGGCCAAGAATTATGCCTTCGAATATAGTTACGAAGCAGGTATACGTACGTTCTGCCCATAGGAAACTCATACAACATACAACCGTTCGTATTTGTCACATTTTGGCTCCTAAATCATATTCCGGTAGTTATTATATTATTGTAAATAACATGTTTATACAGTAAATACAAATATGAAGTAGTAAATTCTAAGCACAAATAACATACGCATCGACGATTGAAATGACGTGTTTCTTTGTCACTGAATTATATTTGTTTTTGTCTGACTCACTCCTTCAAAAATATTTTTCTCTCTAGATAGACATACCTATCAATACACATAAACTGTCTAAACTTTCATATATCAGTAGTATACAGCAAATTGTTTAACAACTTGTGTGGTACTTAAAACGTTCTATAAACAAGCATGTAATGGCGATCCTTTGTTGATCAAACCTAGACGAATTTGGTGCACATTACATAACGCACTTTATCATATGTAAACTGTCCTACATTAACATTGTTTACCGAGGCCGTTCCCTACAAGCATACAGCTGTCTGCCTTCCGTGCAGTCTGCGGCCGCCGGATGCATAGTTCCAGCGCCAGGAAAAGGCGATATGGCGTTATGAGGACACGGGACACAGTCGTGTTACATCGTTTGTCGAACCAAGGACGTTTTACAGAATTGCAGAATGTCCTTGGTCGAGCATACACAACCTGCCTAGTGTTTTTATCAGTATATAGGACGAAAATAGTGTTTAGTAGCATACTTTTAGATGCATCATTTTGTCGCACAATGACGAATTCTCTCAAAGTCTGTATAGTATTTCAACAAGACAACTTGTATTCTATTATTCTAACCATCGGTGTTTGCTAGAGCGCTGATAACCAAGGTTGCTTATTGCACGGTCCCGACCATTCTGAAAGCTACACCCACACATTTTAGGTAAGGCTAAAACACATGCCAAATGGCCTTGAAAGTTTGTATGAGTTTGTGGAAACTGGGAAAAGAGAAAATTCCCAATCAAATTTAAAAGGGACTTAAAATGGATTGCGGCTTACATTTTTCTCTTGACCACGTAATTTGCAACTGTATGGTGTTGTTATGAATCAGCCAATGACAGTGGGGCCAGTGCTTGTATTACAAATATTTGTATTTGCTTTTGTTTTGTTTTCTTGTTTCTTCGGTTATTTAGATCACTAAAGCCTGGTGTCAGTGTCCTCCTCGTTCTCCGCTGGAGGGGGGTAAAGCGGTGTTGGGTTGTCAAACTCGGCGGAACACGGCGGGATCAGAAACGTCTGACTCAGCGATTTCTTCATGCGTACCTCGGAGATAGTGTTGATGCTCACAGGGGGCGAGGACGGAACCAAGGTGGTTATGGTGGGGGATTTCTTGATGGGGCTGCACGGAGGGGTGCTCATGCCCCTCACGAACTGGCCGCCCTTCCGCTTCATGCCGAGTCTCTTCTTGTACAGGTTGAGAACCCTCGTGTTACAGACGAAGGCGATGAAGAGAAACACTCCCTGCAAAAATATCACGAAATCGCTTTTACTATAGTATAATAATGATACTATTCTGTATTTAATATACAAGGTACTCTCCAAGCAGAGATTTGGTTTTTGGCTTATTTTGGCGTTTTTTATGCTTTTTCTAGGGGGTTCTTTTTTGGGCTTGCACAAAAAAAGATGCCAGTCCAAAAAGGAAGCCTTATAAAAAGCCTAAAAACACGCTTAAAATAAGCCAAAGCCCATACCTCTGCTTGGAGAGTACATACAATGACGTCTAGTAGATCTTGTTTACATTCACACACATGACAATCAATCAAGAAAGTAGATATATGACATCTGGAAATAAATGATACCTGAAGACAGTTGAAGATGATGAAGAGGAACCACAGGATTTCTGTAATGATCCGAGCGTTGACGACGACCGCCAGGAAGCCGAAGATCCACGTGAAGCCCATGACGGTGGACAGGCGCACGTACACTTTCACATTCTGTCGGGCGTTCTTACCCTGGGGAAGTGAGGAAAGGAAAAATTATTATTTCCTTAACATATGACTATGGTGTGCCTGTTAACCTTGTTTTTAGAGAGCGAGTAGGTAAGTGAGTGAGCGAGTTAGAAAGTGAGTAGGTGAGTGAATGAGCGAGTGATTGAGCGAGTGATTGGGTGGCTGAGTAGGTGAGTGAGCGCCCAAGTGGGTGAGTGAGTGAGGGAGAGAGAGAGAGAGTTGGGTGAGAGAGGGATTGCCTGAGTAAATGAATGAGAGTGTGTGTGTGTGTTTGTGTGTGTGTGTGTGTGTGAGTGAGTGAGTGAGTGAGTGAGTCAGTCAGTAGGTGAGTAGGTGAGTGAGCGAGTGAGCGAGTGGATGATTGAGTGGGTGAGTGGATGAGTGAGAGAGAGAGTGTGTGTGTGTGAGTGATTGAGTGAGTGGGTAATTGAGTTTGTGTGTGTGTGTGAGTGTGTGTGTGTGTGTGTGTGAGTGAGTGATTGAGTAAGTGAATGAGTGTGTGTGTGGAGGGGTGTGAGTGAGTGAGTGAGTGAGTGAGTGTGTGTGTGTTTGAGTGAGTGAGTGAGTGAGTGAGTGAGTGAGCCAGTGAGTCAGTGAGTGAGTCAGTGAGTAAGTGAAAGACACATACCTGTACAGAGCGGGTCCTGGTGATAGAAATCACCGTGATGATGAACAAAATGGCGTTGACCACGATGACGATGGCGAGCGGGACGAAGAAGGCGAAGATGAGGGGGTACAGCCGGGATATCCAGCACGTCACTTTGCCTCCGTACCCAAACTCGATATCTACAGGAGAAACAACATTTACATTTACATTCTATTGTATAGCAATGTGTTTAGGAGACCGCCTCTTGACAGGAAGTTATCATACACAGACCATATCTGTAACTGATTGATTATGAAGAAAGGACCCAAGGTCTGAGAAGACAGTTCTAGCAGGCATCCAGAGAGTCCACACGTCTCTTCCATAGTCTCTACTTCACATCCCTCCAACTGGTGGCAGCGGTGGGATACTACCACTACTACTAGAGGTGAATAAAAAATGAAATGAACAACACAAGCAATGGGGAGAAGGTGGTCATATTCGGCAGATAGTTACCTTTCAGCGGGCCAAGGTCAACAAACTCCAGGACTGCGCAGATAGAGACGATGATCAGAGGACAGCCCCACGCGTACGCCATGTAGCGAAGGGCCTTTCTCATGTGGTCAGACCTAAGTCCAATAGTCCAAGAACATGTATGATATGAAACAATTTGTCTCGGCAACTAAACTACAAAAAACAATAAACCACCATAGCTATAGTCTGGTGTGAATGCATAATGGTGATCTTTCAAATAAAAAAAAAAGGTACTGGTAATAACGTTCTGAATAAAGGTTTGCTGCCATACATGAATAAGATAACGAGATATTTCCTTACCTGCAGCGAACAATGATAGTCTTCTCCACTACGAACGTCTTGTACACCATGAAGGCAGTGACGTTCATCCAGAAGAAAGACGTCAGGTACAGGTAGTGGATGCCCATGCCGGTCACCTACAGACAGGTGAGACATTGTGTACATTGCGTTACAGAAGATCAGAAAATCTTGCACAAGCCTATGCTTTAAACTATGTTACAGTCCATTTGTGAATGAAGATGATATGAAAATAATCTAAATGTGGATCAGACAAAAGTCAAGTCTCTTATATAAAGGTAAAGAATACAAAGTGGTTGGCAAACCTAATTTTAACGCTGTATGCTCAAGTTTGTATGTAACTAACTAAGGTTTTGACAACAAATCCAAGATATATGTGGTATGTATGAACACCTTACCTTGCAAAGCAGATCGCTGGAGATGTTCTCTCTGTTTACAGACGACAGAAACACGACCTGGGAGAGGAACAAGGATGTGGACAGGTTCAGGATGGTGAGTCCTGGAAGCGTTCGAAGGGACGGGAAGAGGAGGTACGTCACTATGGTCGCGGCCAGGGTTGTAAGAGACACGACCATGGCTACAAAAGTCACCACTCTGTCTGCTGTGATGGCGGGCGGGGCTTCCACGGGCTGGTAGTCTACCCCGGAGTCGTCTGTACTGTTCTCACAGAACATGACATGCGGTCGGCCGTTGATGATGCAGAAGTCCCCGGGATACAGTAGATGGTTCCCATAGCCACAGGCGAGGTACAGGAGGGAATTGTTCGGGAAAAGCTGGTACTCGGACTGGTTCAGAGGAACGATAGGGCACGAAGTCTCGTCCACGCACACGAGAACTTGCGAGATTTGGGTCGTGAGTTCTCCGAACTTGGAGGCATGAATACTGACGGAGTAAACCGTGAATTCCTCTTCAGAAAACGACTTGCACGTGGAGTTGACGTGTAGGATGGTATTGTTTTCTTGGTCGGTCATGAGGACGAAGTCCATGTAGTCGTAGACTCTTGCGACCGTTCCGTTTTGGCACTTGAATGAGTCGACATCGACGTCTTCCACAGAGTCTATAGCATTGACTGGAACGCCAGCAATGTAGAAGTCAAAGTCCTCAAGATTCGCATACAGGTTGTCTAAGAAATTGCTATAGTTGCCGTTCATCATGTTATCAGTGATCGGTATCTCTAAGGAAAACGTCATACTGAAGAAGGACTCTCCTACAGGGCCGTTCTGGACAGGGCTGTCTGCTGGAGCTCTTCCACCCGAAGAGGCGTTGGTGTTCACAGGCTGCCAGGGGCTGTCGATGTTCACGTTGATAGAGTCAAGTCCTGCTTGGCTGATGTTAAAGAGTCCAGTCACGGCTCCGATCACTTGATGCTCGAGTTCTTCGTTTACAATGGAGGAATACGCCTGAATCTGGATTGTGAGCGTGATGTGAATCGTTTGCAAGACATGACTACTGTTCTGGTTGGAGACGCACATCTTGTTCCAGAAGTCGTACGAGAAGCCGTCGCCACAGAACACGGACCTGCAGATCGTCAGGAAGGGGTCGTAGATCTGTCCTGCCTCGCACGACACCATCTCCACGTCTTCGGCAGCCGCGGGGTTGGTGAGATCGGTGTACGTGAAAGAGCTTTCTCCCCGGACAGGGTCGAAGTCCATAAGCACGGAAAAGGCCGCGGGCAGCCATCCCAACGGCCCGCTAAAGTCCATGGACGTTCCGGAATCAGGAAGGCCCAACTGTCGGCTATTTTGTAGGTTTGAAGTAGCCGAAGGATGGTCAACGCCTAAAGTCCAGTAAAAGCCATTAATGCGACGCCACACCGGACAGAAGTGATCATCATTGTCGACGCCGTTACACATGGCGCAGTGTCTGTTTTTGTAGGCTTTCAGTGGAGCTTTGGAGTCCCCGCCAAGCACAATGGACTCGTACGATCCACAGATCTCTGCGATGGTTGAGTTACTGTCAGGCGGGCAGGACGCGATCAGGTCCGGCTCGCAGAGGCGGAGCGGCCTCTCGGCACGCTCAGGTCGGATACGGACCAGACACGAGTGGTTCAGGTACGAGGGAAGGATCGCGGGGTCACGGCTTTCAGGCGGTCTCTCCCAGCAGTTAGCATAGACGTTCCAGAAGGTGAAGTTCGTCATGTGGTTACACTGTGCACAGAAGGCGTTCCTGTAGGTAAAACCGTCCTCTCCCGTGACAGGAAACACGGATAGAAAGTCCATATTGTCGCTTTTCTCGCACTGTTTCTGTATGTCCCCGTCCGTCCAGCTTGGGTGGCACTTTGTGACGACCCAGTATGTGTCTTGGTAATAGCCGGAAAGTTTTACACACTCGAAATTTTCTAAAGGCGGGCTCTCTACCGCATCTTCTGACCCGTCTTGTGGGTCTGCGGTTGAAGGATCCGCGTGGCCCGACCCTTCTTCGGCGTGATGATGGGCACAAACTGCCGAGTAGTCAGGGCAGCAGTCCTGGAAAATCTCACAGTCCACATCACAGCGGCAGTTGAAGTACGACTGGTAGTACGAGTTACCCGGGTCGTGTTCTCCGCAGTGGCCTTCACACGAGCCGTGCGGCAGACAGTACGAAACGCTGGCTATCTCGTCCTCCAAGTCAGGTATTCTTCTCTTCACCACCCGCGAACTTCTCTTCGTTTCGCAAGACGCTCGCGTGTATTCCGACGTCGGTTCTCGTATCCATATGGCGGGATTTTGCGAAGCTTCAATCCCTGTAGCAAAGAGGCCTAATTCCTCCCTCGGGTCCGTAACAGCCGGTAGGGCTAAGACAAGCGGCAGGAGAACTGCCACAAGATACATGGTCGTAGACAGGCTTAGAAGAGCACACATTTTCTAACCAGCAGCGACATTGAGACAGCTTTGGCTTGCCTTGGGGCGCACCTAGCTCTCCGTTAACTAAATGTTGCAAAGTGCACTCACCGTCACTGTTTATGTAGGGACGAGCGGTATCTTGGGAAAGATCGCGGCAGAGCAGGTGTTCAGAGTTACCTGGCACCACTAAGAGATAAGTTGAGTACAGGTGAGAACCAGGGGAGAGCAACTCTTTACTGTGTGTACTGAACGGTAGCTGGTACCGGTTAGGAAAAAAACACTTTGGTTAAGTCACGGCGACACTTAATGCACGTTCTTCAAGTTCATAGTGCAGATATGGGTATTCGTACCGGGCCGACGTTTCAAAGACGGTGATTGGAAGAAATTTGACCACTATGTACTGTTTACATTGAAATTCTTGTTCAAACGGTTTTTCAGTGGATTCAGCTAGCTGAGCTGATCATGTATTGAACAAAGCGCGTCCCGTTCACAGTCGGCATTGTTGTTAGCTGTTGATTACGTTACGAAAATGATTAAGTTGTTGGAATTTGTATTATTTCCACTAACATTACGTCAGCTCTTTCTTGACTTCAGCATTGAATTATAAATAGCAAATTACGCAAACTATCGGCAAAGATGGGAAATTTCTGTCAACATTCACATGTTTCCTCTTCAGATAGGCAAAATTGGGGCCGTTAAACACTCAAGACGTGACAAGAATGGCTAAGTGAGGCAGTAATTCTCTTTAAAAGTTAGGTTTATGATGTGTGATAATTTTACTCCTTTTCACTCCATCATAGGTTTGTTGACCCACACTATCATAATATAATGTTTAATTTTTTCTTATAGTATGATACTATTTTTCGTGTGATCTCTGTCTGTTCGTATCTAGATAAAGACGTTCAAATACTGGAACTCCTTTACTTATTTATTTACAAACATCAAAGACTAAATACAATGTTTCTTGTACGCTTCGTACTGAGTTCTGCTTAATACAACGTGTCATCGTTATATGGAGTTGGCTATTTCACCTTTTTTTCACCAACACTATTGTTTCTTTAGCACATTCTGTCCCTCAAAAATTAGGAACGGAAAAGAAGGCAACGTATCACTCAATATGTTTAGGAGGAGATAATAAAAGAATCCGTTACTATTGCTAGCAGTATCTGAGACGAAAATTTGAATTGTGGCCTGACTGAAAGAAAACAAGACCTCGCACGAATGAACGGAGGGGATCGCTCTACTGCGTCGACCTTCTGCCCTCCATAATGCAAGAACAAACAGAGCGTGTTGACTTACCCGGTTAACTGATAACGTGGCACGTGGCCCGACAACAGTGACTCAATGCACCGCAACTGTAGGACGAGACTGATGTGTTTTAAATCTCCGTGAAAACATTTCAAAGTGACGGACCGAACAATGCTGAAGAGATGGTTATAGTCTCCTCTTTTCGTTTTACAATTACGATATTTTTCTACACACATGGTGGCATTTTGCCAGGTTGACAGGCTAAAACATTTTACCAAACCCTATGTACATGTACATGGGACTATATAAACAAACTGCCTGATCATTCAGTGATAACAATAGTTTTAAGTGCGTGCTTTTATAGTACACTAAATGTATATCTCTCAAACCTTCCTTCTTATACCCAATGTCAAGAAGTAATTTAAAGAAAGCCATATAAATCATGAAGTTTGGGAAAATGTTGTCAACATACAACATGTTTCCTCTTAGAACGGGAAAATCGGGGTCGTTAAACACTCCAAATTGACTAACAGACGAAAAGAGCCAAGGACGTTATAAAATTAGCCCTCTTATATAACTTCGTCTATGATCCTTGTGATAATTCCACCTCTTCAATAGTAGACGATATTATGCGTTTGTTCACCGCAATTGTAGCAGATAGAGCAGTGAGGGAATAGCTACATGTATGTGACTGTACGTGTCCACATCACAATGCAATATTACAATACATTTTCAATTGCAAGTTCTCGGTCCAGTCGTGCTCCTGAGCATAGTTATGATACGTATTGTCTCAGTTTTGGTGAGAAAGAGAAGTTATCGGCCACCATACGTTCAGATGACCATATACACTATGTTGACTGTGTGCTGAGGTACGCGGGTATACAGTGGTTATGCATCAGCATGACGAGGTGTTTAGGGTCAGGTTGTTACAGCCCGGGGGCTTTTTGCACGGATCGCTAGGCGTCCCCATTGTTGGGCCCATCGTCAGAACGGATGCATATCCTGGCATATACCAGTCAACGGCCACATGCATTGTATATATCAAGTTAGCGTAACTACAATGTAGGGTTACTTAGTATTACATCGTAGCTCATCGATGTGATAATAAAATGGTACAATGGAACAAAAGTGACAATGCACAGTGAACTCTAACCCGGAACTAGACTTTGAAATGCAAAATATGTACTGAGTACTTCATGGCCAAAGTCACAGTCGACCGGTCAGAACTGCAAGCAAGAATTTCTAACATTGTCAACCATTTTGTCTCAGAGGTAACAGTATACATTTATACAGGTCCCTGAGGTTCCCTGTAGTATGCAGGGATTGAAAATCTGCAGTGAAATTTATTAGTTCACGTAGTAACTGTTAGCTTTCTTAACCTCTACACAATAAAATACTAGGTCTGAACATTTTGACTGATCTTATGCATGCAGAAAACATAATGGCTGGCCTTCCTCTGTGGGAGAATTCGGCGCTTAGCCAACTGAAAGACGGCATGGCAGCAGACGACATGGTGGCCTGTTATGACAGCTTCGCCGAGCGATATGACGAGGTTTGTATGGAAGAAACATTCTATGCATTACATATAACACTTCGTTCCGTGTCACGACTATGAATGTACCAGAACTGTACTGGTGCTGGCTAGTTCCACATTACAGCACTGGTCAAACTTTTCACATTTACCATACAGTTCACAAATGTTTGGTAGCTTGTTTTATTCATAAGATTCTCGTGACCGTTGGTATGTCATACAGGATCCGGATTTCAGCTCTCCAGATATAGATTTGTTTTGCTCATAGCAGCGATCGCTCTTTTTTGTTTACACCATATAAATGAAAGTTATTTGATGACATACGCAAATCATTGGCAGGCAAATCAACCACTTGTCACCTGCATTTTGCCTTCACTAACTGGCCGTGACGTCATAGTGATTGCCCGTATACGAGTTCACATAATGCGTTTAAAAAGTGAAAATTATATATATGGATGTAAAATATACACACTGCACTGCGCAGAAGTATACAACTATTCCCATGCATTTTCGAACAGGAAACCGCAAAAAGAGACTACACCGGCCCAAGACTGTGCGCAGAGGCTTTAGCAAAGTGGTTAGGTGACAGAAAAACGTCTCGTATTTTGGACGTTGCAGCAGGGACCGGGCTCTGTGCCATGGAGGTAATTACGTAAATTGACAGATAAGAACTCCCGTAGTGTAGAAGATTCGAAATAATTGCTTTTGCGTGTGACAAGCAAACTTTGAGATGCAGTTTTCTTCTAAGTAGTCTTGGTTAAGAGCCCCTATGGCTCGTTTTTTGTGGAAATGTAATAATATATCATTGTTCTTTTGCACCTTTGTCTGTCGTAATTGGGACGCCGTTTGTTTGAAACCTCAGTAACCACTACTCAAATGTAACATTGTTTTGTTTTCACAGTTGAGAAAACTCAGGTTTACCCTGATAGACGGGTTGGATCCTAGCCAAGGTTCACTGGACTACGCCAGGTCCAAGAATCGCTATGACAAGTACATCTGTGACTTCATCGGCGCAAATCGCCTGGACATAGAAGACGGTTGGTAAATGGTAAAATACTATCGTTGTAATGACGGAATCCACCACTGTAAGAACACATTATGAAAATGTATGAAAACAATAGCCTAGGGTGTTTGCAAAAATACTTCGTTTGGTATCTGCTCGTGTCATTCCAAGTCACATATTCTCTTTCATATTTGCATTAACCACTTGGCACATTCCGATCGGATAAGGTCCTTATATACAATTTGCTAAGCCCTTACTTGATTTTATGTGCTGCAATTTCACCAATGAGCTACAGTTAATGTGCAAATGTACTGACGAATACATTTTGTTCTTCATAAGAACGGAAAACCAGTCGTTTTTCAATAAAGGTTTCCTTGGTGATAACTCTGTGAAGAAAATATTAACCAGTGTCATTGCATGCATTAAATTGGTTTGATCCACCGTCGATATTGATATAGAGTTTGATATGTTGTATCTTTAGCAGTCTATCATACTTTACAGACGATACAAGGCATCACCGCTCTACCCGGCGAGATCACTAAGACCCCACCAGGTAAGCAAAGAACGACATACTGCAACCAGGTACGAGTGGTCTTCACAGAGGGTGGCTTTTGGTCTATTCAGCAGACAGCAGAACACCGTTGAAGTGGGATTGCTTTCATGTTTTGGGGACGGTGATTTTGCTTGCGGTTTGTTGATGTTGATATTAACACACATTGCCTCTACCAATAGGGAAATTGTGTAGATAGGGCTGTTGATCTGACCTATGTGAACTTCCGCAGGTGGTTATATTTGCATCACCACCAGGAACGTGTACCTGACGACTGTGGAGGCGTTCAGTGGCGGAAAACTGGAGGCCGCCATGATGGAACTGCAGACCAAAGGATTCTGGGAACAGGTCTCCATAGAGGTTGTTCCGGAATATCATCCGGGCGTTGACGCCGTGATTTTCGTGTTTAAGGTTCTGCGTTAGAGTTTTCTTTGATTATGATATTGAATCTTGGAGGCTCTCAAACATGTCACTAAGTGCCTAGAATGACAGTATATCAATATAAAATTAATCTTATTTCACATTGGTTTCAACGAACTTATTTCACATTGTTTAATTTCTTTTCGTAGATATAAAAACTAGTTTACACACTCAGTTATTATTTCTGTGTCTTGATTTTGTTTAATTAATCAATTATTTCATTGTTTAATTTTGATGTTTAATTCAAATATGTTTTGTCATGTATCATAGTTACTTTTGTTTGGGGTAGGCCCTTAAAAACCACCTAGGTATCTGGCCTACCTCGCATATTATCTTACTGTTATTATTTGATTATGTAACTTTTTTTATACGTGCAAATAATAAATAAACAAATAAATAATAATAAACAAGAAACGAAGGTAACCCCATGAGACCCCAATGCTCCCCCTCCCCCCGAATATCTGTCTTGGTAATATGAAGCACACAGTAATAGATGTGCAAAGTGCAGTTCCTGAATATTTCTCCACTTCTCTCAGCTTACGAAGAGACCATCATGACCTCCAATTCGACCTTTCTGTCAGTCTGTGGTTGCACCATTCCCGCCTCAATTCCCGTGACACTACTCTATTCAAAGAACTATAGACACACCGTACAGGCAACTAAACAGCTAACGAACCTAAACCAAAACCCCAGTACACTGAAGTAATATGGATAGGATTTGATAGCCTACAGGCAACATAGAAAACACATTAGAAGATGTCACAGGCAGCCGTAGTGCACAGAAGCGCCTCACAGCGACGAACTGCATTACAGTGATAGGAGTTGCCACTTAACATAACATTTATAGATAATCTGTGACATCCAGGCGATTGCACATTATCTGTTACATTATAGTTTCTTTCTACAAACCTGGCTCCATACTTGGCCATGCTTTAGTATCCATTTGGTCATTTTAACGCACAACAAAGTAAACGACATTACATATTACCGCTCTCTATGATATAAAAATAACGGCAGCGCTAGAATGTTGGTGTAATTTGTGTTAAATGGTCTCAAGTCCGATATGTGTATTTGTGAGTAAGTAGTAGATATCACGCCTCTAGATTTCTAAGTAACTTGGAATAAGTTAATTCGTGCCGTGTTGTGTTGCATATAGAATTAAAAGTTTGTGACAAAATACAGTTCTCCATGACCTTGCCATCGGCAGTAGCACACTCCAAGGACGGTTGGACCCCTTGGCACCATAACAAGGCATATGAAATGCAAAAGTTTTTCTTCCGGGACATTTACTGTCGCTCCTGACGACTTTGGCGTCCAGACTTCTATTCCAGAGGTCGGGAGGTCGTTTCGGTCGGCATTATCTGTCTCTCCGTGCCGTTCAAGTTGTTGTCCTTGAGGCAAGGACACCGAGAGGATGACAAAAAAGGAAGGATTGCTGGGGGATTTGAGCCTTGTACAAGTGTTAGCTACATAGATTGCCTCTATCGGTCTTCATAAACACCGGTACTAGATGTTCAAGCGAATTCGTGTTGGATATTTCCCCTTTGGTTTTACCAGTCAGAATACTGCGCGAGTCTTCATTACTGAGACAAATGAGGACTTTGTCCCCTTCGGAAACCTACACAGGAGTAAGATTAAACTAGTGACAAAAGTTGGCATGAAGTTGCATTGAGGTCCAATGCACACCAATTATTATGGGAAGGCTGACGTTCGGCGCAAAGGCTACGGTAGGTTGCGCATTTGATCGGAGCCAATGCGTTTTAGACTCTGTGACGCTCCAGCGAAATGCTAACAACCTACTTTAAACAGGAAAGGTCAGAGAAACCTCCGTGGCGGAAACCTCTACTCCGCGCATGTTTAGATAATTGGCCCGAGCGAGGCCTGGCTCTAAGGATTGGCAAAATGTCAGGATCTCGTTATTTCCCCAAATGACAGAGATCGTCTGTTTACATACATCATGCACATATCAATACAGTAACATCGAAGATATTTTCCAGGCTTTTGAAATCATATTACTATCATGGTGAACCATGTTAATGATCCTTTTCTTATGCCCTCGTCTTATAACCTCTGCTCTATACGAATCATAGTCGAGCACCATTTCAGATTATCATTTTTAGCAATTTGAGTAAATAAGCTGTGTTCCTACGGAAAACATGAAGGTTTTCCTCGCAAAGGAACATCTATGACCTTACACCCTAAACCTTAATTTAATTTTCCGTAGGTCTTCCTCCGTACACCACCTACGAAAATCAATTCTGAAGTGTTCTGCCCCTCGGCCAGTCGTGATAAAACTGAAGGTTCCCTCCTGACGTCCTGACGTGCGCTGCGATGTTAATATCCAATGTTTAATTCACAGAAAGTCAGGCGCTGCTCTGCAGTCGTCACGTGTCTGGCTGTGGTTACTGATGTTCGCATCTGTGCGATGTTTCCCCAGATCCCTGGGAGAAATGTCAGCCAGGAAGCGACGTCTCTATCACCGTTCCCTAACCTTCTGTGGCGGGCACAGATTAGGGGGAGATGTCGCTCCGGCGTTTCGATGACAACAGAGCTCAGCGGAGCTTAAATGGTAGGGGCGGACGTCCAAATGTGGTATCATTGTGATGGCAAAATAATGCAAATGTTTCCCTTGACCCGGCAGTACGGGCCAAAAAACCAATAGAGACTGTTTATCGGCTATCAACACAATTTGGAGTAATAGCCATGAAAGGTTAATAGTGCCTTATCCACAGTTACCTCGGTAAGGATGGGGCTGGTTGTAAGCCCCGACGTCCCCGGTTAACTTGGTCACCTGAGCGGAAAATTGGCCATCAGGTGCGTAATCACGTCTGCAGGTCGTTGCCTGTGGCAACTGTGTGCAGCTGACAATTCAGTCCAACTCCTCCTATTGACACTGCAGATGGCCAACGACTATTCCATGGAACAGGTGCAGCTTTTACATGATAAGGTGGAAGGTGTGTGCAAAAATTGGAACGCCAATGCCATCGTGAGCAGGCGTCCATGTACATGTAAGGAGAAGCAAACCATCTTTTGTGCACGTATGCAAGTTTCAAGAGCGAGTGACCGTCCACTGCTTTCCCACACGAGGCAATGTCTTTTAATCATCTTTTTGTTGGATTACTTATAGTACGAGTCACTTTAGGTTGTCATTATGTTACATTAATATTTTCCTTCATCTTACAAGGAGAGCATCTGTACACTCAGGCATATCAGCTAGGAGTGGTTGTAATATTACAGGCTCAAAGAGAATACAGAAAATCTGCTTACAGTGCGCGCTCATAATATTGAACTTGCCAGTTGGCTCATTTTTACAGTACACATCGATTGTTTAATAGCTATGAAAGATGTCTAAATGTATCTTGCCAGGCATTCTCTTATCACATTTAATATCATAATAATCATGATTCCTACGGCTGCCATTAACGTGTGGTACGAAATAATCAATATTTTGTCTTCCAAGTTTAAGACATACTATTGCTTAAGGCTTGATGCTATCGCTCTGCGAAAAAGACACATTCATATACCTGTCAACTTTAATTAAAACACGGGCTGTAGTTATAGCTGGCATCACGATTGCACACAGGTGTTTTACAAATAAAGATATTTCAATTCAGGATAGCATTAGTCCTACTTATAATTAATGACGTTCATTATTATCTCAATCATACATGTTTGTTTACCTCGGTAGGTAATGTTATTTTTACGCTTATCTTGCAAAAGTAGTGCGAAATCCAATAGCTTCAGATCAATATTTTCTACAATGCATTGCATGCATTTTCAAAGATTGGTCGTTGCATTCCATGTAATTTACTGACATTGCAGTTTTGGCCTAACAAATATTGTGCTTCGTAATGATCTTTTACGCAGAACTATAATGAGACATCGTGATTGATGATGATGATGATGATGATATGTCGTTCTGTACCTACCGTACCGACATGTCCGCAGTACCAGAATACCATATACAGTGTACAATCTTTTGGCAATCACGTATATTCCTCCACACCTCGGCTAAGCTAGACATTCATTGCAGGATATTTGACCACCAAAATGATTGTTATCACCGGTATTGACTTGTCCTAGGCAAAACGCTAGCCAGACACTAGTCAATCGATCAACAGGCCCAGATTTTCCTAGAAATCGCTTTGGTAGGTTCTTGTTGTACTGTTCCCGTGGTATAATTGTAGAGAACCTTAAGCATAATTATAGAATATTTTGAAGGCACATTTTGCTTAGTTAATATCTACACAGAGAAACTATTGCATCAGAGAACATCGGAACAATCCTTTAATTTCACCAGGGTTTAGCTTATTTCTATAAAGGGAAACGCTAATACACAGTCTGAGCGTCATGATTAATATGTACCGAAGAGTTTTAATCGAATCAATATCTAGGCTGTACATACACTTCAGGAACGAAATCCTTCATTGATTGTTTCCCGCTTTTGCTGCTTGGAGTCTCTACACGTCCAATAGGACGGAAAATGCCGGAATCTGGTAAGGTAAGGACGTTCTTCCAACCACATGTAGTCAATATATATTTCTAGCCATGGAAAGTCTATACATAACACAAATGCAAATTCTGTCTTTGTATCGTTAATACAAAGCAATATCAAGATTGACAACACGGAATCATTCACAACACATTATGACTATATCAATCTTTAGGCATCTATGTCTAGTTGTTATGAGGTTGTTGAGATCCACAATTAAATGACATATTTACAAGATTTCAGGTAGCAGTTTACTATAATAGCATGACAAAGGGCTCTCTGTAACTCAATTATTAATGGCATGATGATAGCGTACATTTCATTACTGCACACTGTTCGCACATTCCGAATTAGAAGAGAAGAAAATGGTAGTCCTGTCAACTGTGCCACGTACCTTAGGAATCTATGGCTTGTTGTTTTGTTGTTCCTGAAATGCACAATTGAATCACATATTTACAAGGTTTAAGCTATAAGTGCATGAAAAGACCTGTCTGTAACCTAATTATTATTGACATGACCACAATGCACATTTAATTACCGCACACCGTTTGCACATTCTGAATTATATAGGAGAGAAGAAAAGGGTAGTCCTGTCAACTGTGCCACGTACCTACATGTTGGGATGATTTATTTCCTGGGTGGCGTTCTATCGACCCCAGATCCTCCGGGGATCTCAACTTGATTATTGGACGATTATTGTCCGTCTACACCTGCCGACACCCCGAATCAATCGTCAACGCGCTGGGAAATTAGACAATTAGGGAGATCCTAACCTCTGTATGCAAATAACGCAGTAACAAACTTTGATAATAAGGTTGAGTATGTTTTGCTACAAAATGTAAAGCTGTACCTTTCTCATTCTCATCTGTGACTCATATTTCGAGGTTGTCCTGTTATCAGGTACATGTAGCCTTGTGTAATTAGTCTTTGGCCTACAGGTTGACCCTATGCCGCCCGGCTGGTTGGTTAC